GAATCAATATACAATTCGTAATTGAAAAAAAATTAAGTTAAGCGTTGAAAAAATGTAACTATTTTTTCCAACAACATAATAAAGTACTTCATAAAAAAATTCCCGGATTTAAAAGAAAATTCCCGGGGGTTTCCCGGTTTTTCCCGGGAAAAAAAAATTCCCGGGGTTTTCCCGGTTTTTCCCGGATTCCCGGTTCGCTAGACACCCTGAATTCAATTCCTATAAGATTTCTTCAATTTGATTCCTGAAATATTTCAATTCTAATTATTAAAAATTGAAATAACATTTAGGGCGAGAATTGAAAATAAACAAATTATTTAGTACGAATTAAAAATAATTTGGTGGGAATTGAAAATAAAAACAATTATTCCAGTGAAAATGGAAAATAATCCCGCGTGAAAATTCAAAGCAATTTAGTAGAAATGAAAAATAGTTACGTGAAAATTTTCCTGACATTTCACTGATTTTTTAATTCAATTATTCAAAATTTTAATAATTTTATTGATTAAATACTTAAATAATTATTTATTTTTCCACAGAAAAGATAGTTTAACAAAATTTTAATTTCCAATAATCTGAAAATTATTTATTTTTAAAAATTACAATCGCAAACCTTCCCAAAATTTAATTATTTTCAAGAATTTTTAACTAAACTTCTTGGATAAAGTTTCTAATTAATAGCCAATAGCCATTTCAATTGATTGAAAATAATCAAAAATATTGAAAATAATTAAATTCTTTAAAAAATATAATAAATAATTCTTAACATTTGTTTTCTAAAAATAGTTTAAAATTGTTGAAAAATTTTTCAAAGTAATTGAAATTTAGCAAAATTTTTAGACAATAATTAACTTTTTAAAAAAAATTTTGGAAAGTATTAAAAAAATAATCAAGGTTAATGTCAATTTTTCGAAAATAATTGTATTTCATAAAACAATTTTTGAACGATTTAAAAAGCAAATTAATTTTCTGAAGAATGAAAAATTGATTTGCTTTTTAAATCGTTAAATTAAAATTTATGAAAATAATTATTTTCTTCAAAATTTTGATAATAATTCTAAAAAGTTTGAATTTTTAAACGAATTAAATGTAATTTTATTCTTTTTTTTGAAGATATTTTCAATAAAACTTTACCAAATTTCAATTATTAAAAAACTTTTAAATTACAAATTTCGAAAATTTAATTAGAAAAATTAATCAAAAATAAATGTTGAAATATTTGATTATTTATTTTTTATACAATAAAAATTGAAAATAATACTTTGGAAATTTAAAAATGAAACTGTAATTTTTTATGAAATTGAAAATAATTTAGTGGCATAAAACTGATTTAGTAAAAAATGAAAATAATTTATTTTGAAATTGGAAATAATTCTTTGGAATTGAAAAATGATCTCGTAAAAAATTGAAAGTAATTTAGTAGAGAAAATAAAAAAAAATTTTATTGGAAATTGAAAATAATTCCTTCTTGGAAATTGAAAACTCAGTAAAGAATTGAAAATATCTCAGTGGAAATTGAAAATTCAGTAAGAATTGAAAATATCTCAGTGGAAATTGAAAATAATTTAGTACCTAAAAATTGAAACTAATTTAATGGAAGTTGTAAATAGTCTCTTGGAAATTAAAAACTCGATGAGAATTAAAAATATCTCAATGGGAATTGAAAATATAATTTAGTGGAAATGCAAAATAATCCCTTGAAAAATAATTGAAAACCACCAGTGGTAATTGAAAATAACGCAATGGAAATTAAAACCATTTCTGTTGGAATTGAAAACAATTTCCTGTGTTCTGAAAACGAAAAATACTCCACAGTGTGGAAATTGAAAACAATTACTCCGAAATTGAAAATAATTTACCAAAAATTGAAACTAATTCAGAATAGAAATTAGAATTAATCTACTCGAAATGAAAATTAATTTAGTAAAAATGACTATTTTTTTCGTCAATCTATCCAGAGAGAGAGAGAGAGAAAAAAAGAAAATACAAATTTACAAAAGCGGGTCGCATCTTGCGTCAATTAAACTCCCTGTGAGTCTACATATGTGTGTGATGCAAGTTCAAATTGAAACACTCGTTAACGTCAAATATAGGACGGAGCTGAAATTCCAGTCAATGATACTTGGATCGGGACATCATCATCATCATCACCAACCCTCTCTCTCTTTCTCTCTCCATGATTCTCCTCTATATCTCTTGCATTTTCTCCTCCAATGTAAAATGATGGTAAATGCAGATAAATTCCATCTCTCTCTCTCTCTTGTCTCTCCTATTCCAGTGGTTTCTCGAGAAGGGGACAAACACACGAGGCGCATGCTCATGCGCATTGTGAAAATGGGCCATCCACACGACGATACACTTTCAAAACGAGGTCACGAAAATTAAATTTTGAGATTAACGTCGTCAAGCATATGTATGCGTGTGAGCTGCTTTTTTCTTTAAAGAAACAAGATGAAGAAGAAGAAGAACAATTTCTTTCATTTCCAATTGGTGATAAAAATTATTTCCATAACAAACAAGAACCTCACTCACTTTCCACAAAAACGAGACACTAAAAGAAGAAAAAGAAAACAATTAGAAGCGAACGAAAAATACTCAATAATTGGAATCATAAAAATAGATCAATTCACAGATTGGATTCCAAATTTGGAAAAAAAAGAATCCAACATTGTTAATTGTAGCAGAAAAATAATAGTAATAGCAAAAAAATAATATTAGTAATAATAATAATAGCAAAAAAAATAATAATAGTATTAACAATAATAATAGTAATTATTATTGTCAAAACGGATTGTTAAAAAGTAATTTGACAAAATATTTAGTAACGGACGTAAAATTATTTGAATAATAATAATAATTATTATTATTACAGTAAATTATAAATATTATATTTATTTTATTATAAATAATAATAATAGTAAAAATTAATTGAAACATATGACCTTGATGACACAAGTGGTAATTTCCAATCAAGAAATTCTTCATTATTTACAAGTAGTTATACACGTAATGGGAGGAAAGAATCATTTCCTGATTGCCCTCGAGATTTCTATATTCTCTTCTATATATTTTTTTTTTTGCTACACTGTAACTTTTCCTGATAAGCTAGTGACATTAACTCTCTCTCTAGTGTCCGAGTTACGATAAGGTTTATTGATGCTGTAACGAACGAGTCTCGACGAATAAATCGAGCATTAGTCGGACATTGACAGTGTGCACACACCAAGAGGCAACAAGATATAGTTTAAACGAGAGAGATCGCGCCTGCTTTTCTTTGTTAAAATTATTGCCTGTGACTACCTTTCCGAGAGATAATACGAGCCTTGACTCACTTCAACTTAGTTGTTAATTACTAAAGCAAACAAGAGACAGAGAGCAGAAAAAAAAATTACCAAACTTGTGCTTGACAATATAATGAAATCTGATAAATCTTTATCGATTTCGAAAAAGAAAAAAAAGACTGCAAATTTACATAGGGCTTTCAAATTTAATGACACGGATAAGAGTTCACAAAAGAAATACTTGAAAATGTAATCAATACAATCGTTCATGTTTAAACAATTATTTCTCAATCGTTTTTCTCCGAATCCTTCAAATCCTTCGAATATTTATGAAACCGATAAAACATTCCAATTCCGAACCGCAAAAAAAAGCGAAATTAAAAGATATTTTTACAAATTATCGATTATAGAAATAATTCTCTAAAGATCAAGGATTGAAAAAATAGGTTATGTTACAATCATTTCAAGATTTTCAAGCAACTTTAAGATTTCAACTTACTTGTCACGGGAATTATCGAATTAAAATTATTCCACAAGGCGGTAGATTTACACGTGTAAACTACAACACTGGAAGTACTTTTACACAAAATAATTGTTAAATATAACATTTTCGAACTATACACAACAAACAATTTAGATTAATTTGTTCCGGAAGAATTTAATTTTGGAGAGAAATTCGTTACCGTCAGGGCCTGTAATTTACCGACGGAGGACAAGTTTTTTAAATCGAAAGTCAGGGGACAGTCGCAATATCGATAATCGAAATTTGGCGCTTTAATTTGAAAATCAGATTACCAAAAAAACAATCAAAAGAGAACTGACGACAATAAAGTAAAGTAAATAATTTTACTGACAACAATAAAGAAAAATGTACAAGAAATTATTAAGTTTTCACTATTTTGAAAAATATACTTTTTTGAATTATAATTTATAAAAGAATATTTAATTACTATAAAAACTTGGTCTATACTTGGTAAATAGTTTAAGATAAATAAAGACTAATGGAAAATTTGTTTGTTTCAAAAAGTTGAAGAAAAACGAGAAAAACACAAGGAGCATAAGAGGAAATCATTAGAAAATCGTTATGACGCTAGAAAAAGCTGGAAACTTGACCAACAGGCATGACGCCACAATAATGAAATAAATAAAATGAATAAAGTGAATAAAATTGAAAAATGTTATTTATCTCGAGATAATGCAATTCTGTAATTAAGAAATTGTTTACACTTTGTAATTTCACTACGCACTGTATTTGTCAATATTTGCAACAATTTTAGAATGACAATTAAAAAACAAAAAAAACTCATAACCTCAAAATTTTGTCTAAATTTTCCATTTTTTTATTGTACGTTCACTTCTCTTTAATTTAAGCAAAACACTTCCGTTAAAATACCGAAATTTATCACGAAAAATTAATTTTAACACATTTTTCAAGCACTCCGCATCGTGCGTACTTTGGGAAAATTTTTGAAAGCGTCTTTCCGGTAAATGAAAACGTGCTCGCGTCCATGTGGCAAGCAAACAATTTTGCTTTTGCTCCACTCCCTCGAATCTCGAAATTCATATTTTTACCACAAATTTTGAAAACATATCCCCAAATTATTTGAATTTCACCACTAACGAGAAAATTTAACTTTTTTTAAGAAATAATAATGATAACCGGCTTCCGGCGTTTGTTTTCAAGAGAAACATAACCTTAAAAACTATAGAAAGACTCACCTCATGTCCCGTCGGAGCGATGAGAATATGGACTTCGTCTGTATCGAAATTATGTTCCGTAACTTCGGCTTGAATTTCTCGTCCGTTATATGTTAAAAAGACCTTTTGCCCACGAACAAGTTTTGTTTTTGTAATTGTACTAAAGCCGGGTCCAATAATTTCGCGTTCCGAATATTCTTTCATAGGACGATTCTCTTGTCCTAAAATTGGATCGAATTTCACAATAAAACGCGTTTTCGATGTAAGACTAAGTCCAGCTTCGTAAGCACTAGAAGATGGCGATTTCACTGCATATACAAATCCACTGTAGTACATTCCATCTTCGCCGGGTGCACACACCTTTGTCCCAACAATACTACGTTTAGCTAACCTTTTGCCGGTCGACATTATCTGCTTAAGAAACTTTTGACAGATTCATTAGAGAATTTTTTTTTGCAAAAATTTCACTCACAATTTCAAATAATGTCAACGAAAAAAACTCCCGACACTTTGTTTATCAATTGTTTGTAAAAACAGCGCAATTTTTAATCCAAACCTCTCGACACACAAACTCGTGGCGTTAAAGCAACAGTTCTGACGCCAAAAAATCGTTTCTCGGAAAAAACACTCAGCGCGTAACAACCAAAAACACAATTGTCGTAAAATATCGTCAAACACTCAAAAAAAAGAACACGTCACCAAAAAATTCAATCGCGTGGAGGAAAATTGAATCCCGAATTTTCAAATACTTTTAGGTCATTGTTTTCCGGAGGAGCGTCTGCTGGAGGGACGCGGAGGTTTGCGCGGCAAGCGCAATACGGCGCTATTCGTCACTTCATCATTTTCATAAAAACAAAATAATTTTTTGTCATTAACTTGATACTTGAAGTTTACTGAGGGCATAATACAGAAAATTGATGCGTTGTAATGTCGGCCGTAAACTGTGACGACAAGAATGCCGCCGCGTAAAATCAAATAGATCCTTACAGCTGGCCGAACCGAGCAGTACTGAGGAGCTGCGCCGGCCGGCTACCCGCCAGCTGATGATAACAACAAACCTCCGATTGGCTGTACTCTGACCTACTTAATCCCATTGGCTGATCGCGAGAAGGCTTTGTTCCGACCTAACTGCGCACTGATGTTGTTGCTTTTCTCATGCTTTAGAAAAATTTATAAATTTATCAAAAACTTTCATCAAATTTTCCGAAACAAAATTATTCACTAATTCAATCATTTGATTTCGTTTAAATAGCAAAAATTACTCTTGAATTTACATGTAGTTACACTGAATACACGAAAATAAGACGTTTGTTTTGTCATCAGCTGGATTCGCCGGTGACGAAAGACGAAAGGTTGAAAGTCTTGTTGTTGAGTCGGGAAAAGATTGAAACAAAGAATGATATCTACCAATAAAATGAATCATAATGCACTAATTATTAACCGTATGTGTTGTTTGTTTTGTTGCTAATTCTTTTTACACTAAAAATGCAACAGTACCTTTAAAACGAAACATTCACTGGACTGCGGCCATTTTAGTATGACGACACCATACACAAGTGGATTCTGAGGAAAAAAAAAATATTTAAACCTCACTAAATGTTAAAAAAACAATCTACTTCGACAATAATAAATCAACGAATAAATCACTCTGTTATTACAATTAATTGACTCTATTACTAATACATTTAATTTGCAAAAGTTCTATACCAATGCAATGATGCAACTTTTAGGTTAGCTCTTTAGTTTACACTTTAGTGATTTTACAAGAAAAAAAGAAGGATTTACTTTCTTTATATCGGCAATGAAAGATTAAGATTTAAATTATTTTAATGTATCACTTACTTTTTTCACACAAAACGATTGTTTTTGTTGAATAAAAACAGAGATATTCACAAATTGTCAAACAGATTTTTGCATAAACATACTATGATGTACTGTGAAGTTGGCTACGGATGATGCATCACTCACCAAGGATGGGAAGTTGGGAAAGTGACGTCATTATTTGTTACATTTTTCGAATAATAAATAACAGTAATTTTTAGATTCAATTGTTGTAAAATAGTATACTTGATATAAACTATTCATAAATTAACAGTATTCCATCTTTATCAAATGTTAAATAATCAAGTAGAAATTACTTTTATTCGAATACTTTCAATAGTTTGTTTTCCTTCTCTGCCCATCTCTGTAAATCGTTTCCTAACCTGTCCTAACCTTCAAAATTCGTCGACAACTTCAGAGTTGTTTGGATATCCCCAGAAATTTCTGGTCATTTAAATAACATAAATATTTCCTTTTAATTTTAATAATTTCATTTTTTCGTGTTAACTTGTTTACGAATTGTTGTTTCTCAATTATTTAATTCTGGAATATATATCAACGTTTTGATCTGATTTCATTTAAACATAGTTTTTTTTCGAATTTTTTCGTTTTATTTTAGTTTTAATGGTTTTAATTATTAATTTTTCGTTGCTTTTTTTGTTACAGATTTCCTTTTTTACAGGAGAGAAATATATTATGGATATGGAAAAATTCATTAGTATTTAAAATACAAAAAATAAATAAATAAAGAGGATAAATTGAATGAAAAATTAACATAAACATTAAGAGAAAATTTAGAATATAATTATGACATAAATTATAACTTAGTGGGTCAGGATCGACACCAGTGATAATGAAAGTAATAGAAGAAAAACAATATGCGTGAGTAGGCCGGCATATTCCAAATGCAATATTGCTACAAAGTCATTTTTATTAAGTCAAAAAAAAAGACCTCGACCATGGAAAATTTTTTCAGTTGATTATATTTTACATTATAATTACAAAACAAGATTTCAAATTAGGAATGGTCCTATATAGGAGTTGTCAGAATTTCGAAACTTTTTTCTCCTTTTATTTCTATAAACGTAAGTTTACTAAATATTTCGAAATATTTTTATTTTATCTCTATAACAAAATTTTGTTTCCAAGTGAATAATTTTTAAAAATATTTTCTAGTTTTTATAGAAAGTTATTTTAAATAAAAAATTTAATTTAAATAAATTATTTATTATTTTATATTTTTCTTTTAAATAAAAAATTTAATTTAAAAAGTTTTAAGTAAAAGTATTGAAAGTATTTTGAAAAAAGCAGTTTTGAATTAAAAGTATTAAGTTTAAAAAAACATTTTTCGTATGAAAAGAAAAAAAATTTGTGTCATTTATATTAATACAAAAAGAAGAGATTTTTTTTCGGATTCTGATGATAATTTAACCATGAACAAATTATATGTTTCAGTATGTAGTCTGTGCAATGTGCTGTCTATATCTCAATGCCAAGTATTTTAAAGTTCAAATAGCAAATATACAACATCGCGTGTATATAGGCGTGGGAAAAAGCCTTTGAATCTATACAACGAAATACGTTTACATATGCTATTCTTCATGGAAGCCATAGATTTTTTTTTTATTTTATATTTTATGAAAAAAATATCCACCGAGGTAAACAAATGTCATATAACGTCTAATAAAACCCTTTCTCTTCTTAGGTTTCCCATAAGGACAAGAGCTTTTCAATTTGTCAAGCGTCTCTCATCTCGAATTTTCAAGACGATTCTAAATTAATTCAAAAAAATATTCTATATTCTATATATTCTAAAATTAATAATCGTTGAATTTCCAATAATATTTTCGCAGTTAGCACAAAAAGTTTGATAATAATAGAATTCCTTCGAAGAATTTAATTATTTAGGAAAATAATTAAATTCTCGCTAAGAATTTTTAAAAAATTTTTTGAAAATTCTAATTAAATTCTTTCTCAAGAATTTATTTTATTTTTTTATTTTAAATAATGGCGATTCTTTAATAAATTTAATTAAAAATTTGAAAAATATTATTGAATTTTATAAACAATTTCTTTCAAGTTTCTAAAATAATCGTGATTGTTAATAATTGAAATTGAACATTTGATTATTGAATTTTATTAAATTTTTAGTAAATAATTGAATTCTTTTGAAAAATTTTGTACCGAATTAGAAAAAGTTTAATTCTTTTGTGAAATTTTTTTCAAAACAATTGAATTATTGCAAAATATAATTGAATTGTTTCGAAGGATTTATTAGAATTTTAGAAAATAATTGAATTCTTTCGAAAAATATTATAAAAAATTTTTTTAAAACTCAAATTGTTTTGATAATAATTGAATTTTTGCAAAGATTTTATTATTTAAAAAAATAATTAAATTCTTTTGAAGGATTTATTTTTTTATAATGAATTAAGAAAAAATTGATTTCTTTCGTGACATTGTTTTGAATATAATTGATTTTTTGCAAGGAATTTTACTATTTATAAATATAATTGAATTTTTTCAATTATATTTTTAATTTATGAATATTATTAAAAAAATTTTTTTAAATTGAATTCTTTCATAAAATTGTATTAAAATTGTATTAAAAATAATTGAATTTTTGCAAAGAATTTTACCATTTATAAATAGAATTGAATTGTTTCGATGGATTTATTAAAATTTTTAAAATTAATTGAATTATTTCGAAAAATATTATTAAAAATTTTTTTAAATTAAATTCTTTTGTGAAATTTTTTTGATAATACATAATTGAATTTTTGCAAAGATTTTACTATTTAAAAAAATAATTGAATTGTTTCTGTAGGATTTATTAAAATTTTGTTTAAAAATAATTGAATTTTTGCAAAATATTTACTATTTTGTAAAAAATAATTAAATTCTTACGAAGAATATTATTATTTACGAAAATAATTGAATTCTTAAGAAGAATATTATTATTTGCGAAAATAATTGAATTCTTACGAAGAATATTATTATTTACGAAAATAATTGAATTCTTACGAAGAATATTATTATTTATGAAAATAATTGAATTCTTGTGGAGAATTAAAAAAAATTTTGGAAATTAATGAACAAGAATAATTAATTAATAAAATAGTTAATAATTGCAGTTTGAATCTGATATTATTCAAAAATTCATATTTAAAAATAAAAAATTTTGTAATTTCAAAAATAAATTTTAAAAGAAAAAAGATTTATCAATTTTTGACAAATTTTGTCGACATTGATTGATCTATAAACTTTTTATTTTGAAAGTTTTCGATGAATATTCATATATAATAAAGAGAAAGTCAAATGATAATTGAAAAGTAAAATGAAAAGAAAATTAAGTTACAAGTGTTTCTTAATAGAGAAAGAGAGTTATTTAATGAAACTATTTTTATTATTATTCTTAATTCGTATTCAGAAATTTAATTATTTTCTCCCTTTTATTTTCTTCTTTATTTTCCTTTTTCTGCTTTTCTTTATTTTTATTGTTTCTTTTATTTTATTTATCTTCTTTTATTTTTTTCCGTTTTCTATTTTATTAATTTTTCTTTATTCTTTATTTTTCTTATTCGTTTTATTTATTATTTTTTATTTGTTTTCTTTTCTGTTGTTTTACTCATTTTATTTTTTTTTATTTAAGATTTTCAGTCATTAAATCATATTTAAAATTTACTTCTCTTAGTTTTTTAATATGAAAACTATTTTTATTTGCAAAAAATCGGAAATAGTAATTCATTAATCAAGATCAACTATTTGAAAAAGTATATCTTTCGAAGAACATTTGTCTTATTCATTCACTGATCAATACTTCGGCATCTATTTCCAAAAGACATTCTGTCAAATGGACAGGAAATGGTTTCATTTATCACATTTCGAAAAAAAATTTTTTATTTACGTGAAAATTGATTTATTTTTGTAAATAATTTTTCTCTATTTAAAATTTAATTTTAAAAATGTATTATTATTATTTTAAATTATGTAAAAAGGTTTTTATAAAGATCTAGACAATTTTTATGTTTTAAAAAGTAGACCCGAGAGAAATCAATAGAAGTGAAAGGAAATATTGCATTGTATTTTAATTTCTCTTCTTTTTAATACATAAATATTTTTTTTGCAATTTTTTTTTCTTTTTCATTTACAGAAAATATGTCTATATACTTTGAAACTCCAAATGTAAAGCTTTTAACGAAATGAATCGATTGACCTATTTAAAAACCCGCTGGGCTGAGTCGTTTATAAATGCGCTAAAGAATTTGAAAAGATTATTTAACTCCAATTCGCGAAATTTTTTTTATTTAGATTTAACAATATATTTTTGGGAAATATATTTAAAAAAAATAATTAAAAATATTTTTCAAAATTAGAATAATAATTACAAAAAGAAAATTTGGAAAAAATTCAAAATTCTCCAAAAAGGAAAAATAGTAAAAAAAAATAGAAAATTTGTTTTAAAAAAAAAAATAAATAAATATTGATAATATTTAAATTTTTTCAGATTCAAGAGGAGAATAAATGCAATTTATATGGGAGGAAAAGGAGCTCTTGGAAGAATAAAAAAAAAGAAGAAAATATCCTTTGTTTCTTTGCGAATGATTTTAAAACAACTTGCGGGATGATATCAGATCCTGGATGAAAATTACGAGCGAGATTCTAAACGAATGAAAAGAGAGGTAGGGTAGTAGGTTGCACCAGAGGTTGAACACTGCAAAACTTCTCTCCTACTCTCCTCTCCGTGCCACATGGACACATCGAAACATTGAATATTGCATGGATATATACGCCATAGATTTTGTCACGGTCACTGTGACTTTTCCATGCCGGAAAAGGGCGAGGCGAGAGAGGGAACTCCTAGAGAGATGTTGCGCAATTCTCCTCTACTCATGCTGACAAAAGTAGCAACAAGAAAAAAAAAATCGTTAACAATAAAATAAAAATTAAAAAATAGGTAAAAAGTCCTTTTTTAAATTTTACTTTATTTAGCAAGAATTTCTTTCTTTTCAATTTATCGTTTTGTATTTTAGTAAACAATTATTGTCCGATTAATGACAAAAGGAAAATTCTTTTCAATTCTTTTCTAATTGAAATTTATTTATTTTATTTATGTATTATAGAAAATTTTTAGTTATTTTACTTAAAATTATTATTCTAAATTCTTGACAACAAATAAATAAATAAATAAATAAAAATAAGTACATACAATAAATTTAATCTATAATTTAAAAAAAAATTGAAAGCAACGAACTTTATCAATATTAAAAGTAATTTAATTCAAGAAATGTTTTTCAATTATTAATATATTAAACTTTCGTGAAGAAGAAATCAGAACAACATTAATAAAGCAAACAAAAGTAATTTTTATTTATAAATTGGATATTTAGAAATCTTTTTCCATTTGGAAATATAATAATTAACAAAACTGATAATTAAATAGAAAATAAAGAAAACATTAGGATAGTTAATTAAAGTAGATTAGTAAACGCATTTTAGTAATTTATTATTAACCATTGTTCATTATAGGTATATTTTTATCTCTTCATGGGAAAAAAAAGAGGAAGAAGACGAAGAAGATAATAATAAGGAATCATAGGGCAAGAAGCGGCACATCGTTTTTATTGTAATATGAAGAGAAGCAGGGGTTGTGGAGGTACGTGATTTCAGAGGATGAATCGCATCGAGGGTGCGATGAAAACGGTTAATGACCCTTTATTTCCTCCTTTGTGATAAATAACTTTTAGAGTGACAAAGAATTCAACTTTTATTCTATTTTTCCTTTTTTATTATATCGATTTTGGTATTACCTTTTTTTCCCGTAATTTCTCAGATTATTATTGTTTATATAACAACGAAATTGTATTTCTACGGGTTTTCCTCTCTTTAATTGATGACAATCTTTTTCGGACAAAAAAACAAACTCGGGACTGTTTTTCATCAATAGACGATCGTAATTAGGAATAGAAAGGAATTTGTAGATTAGAAAAATAGGAAAAAATAGAAGGTTAAAAAAATAAAAATATAATAAAATAGAAAATAAGAATAAAGTTGGTAAAGAATATAATAAAATGGAAACTAGAATACTAAACATAAAATACTAAATACTGGAACTAAATAAAAAAAAATAGTAATAAAAAAATATTTAAATTAAAAATTTAACAATACAGAATAAATAGAAAATCTAGCTGTAAAATTATTAATTATTATAATACTAATTGTTAATTATTAATTACTATAATTTCAGGCTTCGCACTCATATTCAATTATTTTCATAAATAAAAATATTTTCACAGAAATTCAATTAGTTAAAACAGAATTTTCATAATATTTTTCGAAAAAAATCAATTATTTAAATAGATTTTTTATAAAATTCTTCGCAAGAATTCAATTATTTCTATAAATAATAGATAAAATTCTTCTCAGGAATTAAATTATTTTTTGAACAAAATTTCAATAAACTTTCACGAACGAATACAATTATTTTCTAAAATTTTAATAAATCCTACAGAAACAATTCAATTATTTTTTAAAATTATTATCAAAAAAATTTCAAATTTCAAATTTAATTATTTTTTTTTAAATTATTATCAAAAAAATTTCAAATTAAAAAAATTTTTAATAATATTTTTCGAAAGAATTCAAATTTTCTAAAATTTTAATAAATCCTTCAAAACAATTCGATGATGAAAAATTATTCAATTCTATTCATAAATAGTAAAATTCTTTGCAAAAATTCAATTATTTTTAATACAATTTTAATAAAATTCTTTAAAAATAATTGAATTGTTTGCAATATAATTTTAATAATATTTTTTGAAAGAATTCAATTATTTTCATTAACAACATACAATTTTCAAAGAAATTCAATTATTTAAAACACAATTTTCATAAAATTTTTTGAAAAAAATAATTTCTTTAAAAAGATTTTTCTAAAATTCTTTTCAAGAATGCAATTATTTTACAAACTTTATTAATGTTCTGTAATAGAAATTCAATTATTTTTATAAATAATAAAATTAATCGTAGAATTTAAATTATTTTTAATATAATTTAAAATTAATTCCTCTAAAAACGCAATTATTCTTAAAAATTTGATATAATTTCTTTCTTAGAGTGTAATAATTATTTTCTATTCATTTTTAATTACATTTTTTGAATGAATTTAATTATTAAAAATTTTAATGCAATTCTTCGTATGAAAATTCAATTATTTTGAAAAATGTCGATAAAGTTCATTAAAAGAATTCAAATTTAAGAAATATTCGCAATTATTCAATAAATTTATTTTTGTATTTAAATAATTGAATTCTCGTGAAAGTTTCTAATAAGAATTGATTTTGAATTGAATAAAATAAAATGATTAAAGTTTTGAATAATTTTATTTATAAATTTCAACCAAAAAAAAATAATTGAATTTTAAAATCGAAATACATTTGTGAAATGTAACTATAAAGTATATTTTGTTATAAAGATTTCTTTACTATATACGAAAGTTTATAAATGAAACAAAGAACGTAGTAATTGTTGAAAAATGTCTTTGATCTTAATAATTGTGATATTTCTTCTAATGGTTTTTTTTCTCTGCTTTTGTTTCAGAATTTTCAGACAAATGGGAAAATGAGCGCAAGACATTATAAATGCATTTTTGGATATTTTGTTTCGACTATATATAAGAATTCAAATGAAGAAAAAAATGATTCAGACAACACATATCCGTGTCATATTTTATGATCATGATCGCTGAAAATTGCGTCGTTATGAAGAATTGAAAGATATTTTATTTGAAAGCACAAAAGAAGAGAATGAAAAATAATATAATCTCTTGGATCAGAAATTTCCCAATATGAATTAACTTTCTATTTTATGGATCAATTTATTCATGCTATGATAATAGTCCTTGCGACAATATTTAGATGAAATTGACTTCGTAAAATATATATTATTTTCAAGACAAAAAGCAAAAGGAGAATGAAACGATTGAGTCGATGAAACTTTTTTTTTTGTTTGGTAAGTTATAATTCAATACACAAGTTTTTGGTTCGTTTGTTTAATGAGCCGAGAAATTTGTTTTTTTTTTTTTGCTAAATATAATTCGAGAAATAGTAAATTTATAAATTATACACTCGAAGTAAAATTACACACTAAATTATCTATTTGAGAAAAAATCCATTGGCTGTAAATTTTATCAGTGGGGAAAAAATTAAACTTTTTAATTATTGAATTTTTCACTAATAATTTATTATTTTATTATTAATTATTTATTACTATTAATAATTTATATATTTTTAAAAATATTTTTTCCACTTTTTCGTCTAATTATTATACTGAGAGGAATTTAAAAAAAAAATTTTTTTAATTCTTTTTGTGGTAGTTTCTTTATATGAAGTTTGATATTCCATTTGAGATAAAAATCTCCTTTTTCCAAGAAGATAATTATTATCTGAATTAGAATATTATATGAGCGGGAAATGTACATATTTATAAAAGATAATGGATCATTAGATTGTTAAGAGGAGTTTTTATTTTATGAAGATTGAAATAATTATAAATGTTACTTGGAACTTTTGTGAGAAGAAAATTACAAGTGTATAGTTTCGAAATAGAACTTTTGCATCTTTATGACTCCTAGTCCATAAAGTGAGGGGCAGTTTACAAGAACTTACCGTTTTTGTTAATGTACTATAATTAGAGATACGTAACATACATTAACCCATTTTTAGATTCTTTTTTTGTGTTTTTGAAAGTAGATAAAAATTTGTTTTTTATTTTACTACTCTTACCTTTATAACATATGGCAAATTTAAAGTTCCTTTTTGTTGGAAATTTTTTCATTTTTTTTTTCTTGTTGGAAATTTCTTCATTTTCTTTTTTGTTGGAAATTTCTTTACTTTTTTTTCTTTCTGATAATTGTAAATTAAAAAAGTGCACTATTCACTGAGAGAATAAATTAACTTTTCAACATTTGTAAAATATTCTGATAATATGAGAGCATTCTCGATAAATAAATATAGTGGTTTATTTTAAAAATAGATTTAAAAAATTTAGTTAATTTGTTTACTTATTTATTAATTTACAAATATTGTTATTTTTGAAAATTCATATTTAATTAATATTATAAATTAATAATTACATGAAATGTATTAAATAAATAATTTCTGTATAATACATAATAATAATTTGCTATTCTGTGAATTTATAAATAAATAAATTATTAACATTGAATTAAATATTAATAATACTTCGAGAATATAATTTAAATTTATTATTTCACTAATTATTTAGTAAACGAAACAATTAATTAATTAGTTATTTAGCACGGAGAATAAATAAGATTATAATTAATAAATTTATTAGGTATTAATATAATAATAAAAATAATAATAATAATAATAATAATAAAATAATAATAATAATAAAATAATGAAAATATATTATAATAAAGGAAATAAATTTTTTTATACTTGTAAATTAAAAATTAAAAATGTTAATTAAATTAAACTTCCGACAAACTCTGACAGTTTCGCTATACAAAATTATTCTTGTTTAAATAATAAATTTCCTTCTGCAATTCTTGACTTTATCGACTCGTTTTGAAATATTGTCATTGTGGCGCCATCCATTAGATTAACTTACAAACTTTATTTATTATTTAAAAATATCAACAATATTTTATTTTTAATTTCAATAGATAAATTTGCACAAAACTTGTTTTTAATATAAAGTATTTTTAGATTCAGCTTATTTTGCTTATATATATTTATGTATTTTACAAATAATTTCAAACTTCTCTTTTCTCTGATAATTCATTTGCGTATAAATATTATTGTAAAAAATTTATTATTAAAATTTATATATTTATTGAATTAAACTAAATTAATTAGATTTTTTCAATTTATTCAAATAAATTATATTAATCAATTTAAATAATTAATTGATGATACAATTAATTTAATTATCAGGTAAATTTAGAAATTCAATATTAAAAATGAGATTTATTATTATTATTATTAATAAAAGAATATTATTTGCAGAATAAATTATTTTTTGTAAATAGTAAAATCTTTGCGAAAATTCAATTATTTACAAAAAAATTTCATGAAAGAATTCAATTTTAATAAAATTTTTAATAATATTATTCAAAAAAATTCAATTATTGTCTAAAATTTTAATAAATTTTTTGAAAAAATTCAATTATATTTACAAATAGTAAAATTCTTTGCAAAAATTCAATTATTTTTAATACAATTTTAATAAAATTTCATGAAAAAATTCAATTATTTCCTAAACTTTTAATAAATCCTTCAAAATAATTGAATTATTTTCATAAATAATAAAATTCTTTGCAAAAATTTAATTACTTTCGAAAATTCTAATAAAATTCTTGCTAAGAATTCAATTATTTTCGTGAAAATAAAATTCTTTACAGAAATTTAATTATTTTCAAAATTTTAATAAAAATCTTCCCAAAAATTTAATTATTTCTATAAATAATAAAATTCTTTAGAAAAATTCAGTTGTTCTGATAAATAATACAAATTTTCCCATAAAATGAATTATTTCTAAAAATTTTAATAAAATTCTTCGCAAAAAATCAATTATTTACAGAAATAATAAAATTCAATTATTTTTTTAAACTACAAAATTTTTCAAATGAATTTAATTATTTTCATGAATAATTAAATTTTTCGCAGAAATTCAATTTTATTTAATACAATTTAATTTAAGTTTTACTCAAGAATTAAAATTATTAACATATAAAGAATAAAATTTCAATAATTATTTAAATAAATTTCTACGAAAGAATTCAATTATTTTCAATATTATTTTACTGAAATAATTTAATTATTTACAATTTAAACATTTCAAACAAAAAATTTCAAAAAAATTATCAAAAAAATTAGAAAACAAAGAAAAGTAATTTATTTATTCTATTTTATTAATAGAATTTTATTTAAATTTTATAATGAAAATAATATTTAATAATTTTGTGACAACAATTTCTTTTTAAATTTATTATTGTAAATAATAATAATTTATTATTATTATATTTAATTATTTATTTCGTAATATAGAATTAAATTTATAAATAGAATTAAATTTTTGAATAAAATAAAATTTATTATTTATAATAATAATAAATTTTTTATTTATTATTATTATTATAAATAAAAAATTTAATTTCATATTACGAAAATGTTATGTAAATTTGTCAAAATATCGAAAAAGTAATTGTAAAAAGTTTGTAAAAATAATTATCGAGATCATTAAAATATGTAAACTTAATGAATCGTCATTTTAATGCTTTTCGACTTTTTCAGATGGTTTTTGTCTCAACATTTTGCGACGAATGGAAATGGAAACTGTTATGGGGTTGAATGGCGATAGCAGGTGGGATAATCGACTTTGCAACAGGCGCCTTTAGTTTCACTTGAAATTTGACTAGACCTGACATAAGAGAGAGAGAGAGAGAGAGAGAGAGAGAGAGAGAGAGAAAAAAAGGTAGACGAACAACTAGGGAAATAAAGACGTGTCTCGACAGACAAGATACGATCTTGATAAGATTAAAACGACTATTGGTAATTACAACAGCCATCTTGCGTCGATTCTATTTTCTTCAATGAATAACGAAATACCTACTCTGTCAGTGGACGATGTTAGTCTCAAAACGTTCTCCAACTCATAAGAATGTGTTACGTCGGAACAGAATAAAACCTCTGTTCCCGCTTTAATTTTTTTCTTACCTCAAAAAAAAAGAATTACATAATCAATAATTTCTGTCAAATGACAGTCAACAATTATGAAAGACTCATTATTATTAACATTTGTTTTGACGAGTTTACAAATTTTTTCATTAAATATCAATGCTGAATATGGTTGCTCCGTTTTTTGTGTTTGCGATATTTGGTATGACCTCAAACGTGCGACGTGCACTAATCGACGATTATACAGTATTCAAATTGATATTTCTTCAGTAGTGGAGGCAATTGATCTTTCGAGTAATTCCATTTCTTCATTGTCTAACTATGAATTGGCGGTAAGTTTTTTTTTTATTTTTGTTCATATTTTTTTTTTTATCAGTGCCAGTTGACGATTGTGAGATATTTTTAAGCACAGCTTCCATGAGTGGATAAAGTTTCTCTGGTCCCTGATCTCTCTGCTTGTTTTTACATACTCCTCTCAAATTATAATTATTATGTCAAGCATAGAAAATTATTCTATTAATTAATAATTAGTTATTTAATAATTACAATAATTCGAATTTTTCTCGAAAATAATTCATTCTAATAATTCTTTCAAATAATTATTTCGAACAATTTTTTCAAATATTTATTTCGAACAAATTTTTTAAATAATTTTATTTCGAACAATTTTTTCAAATAATTATTTCAAATTTTTTCAAATAATATTTTTCTATAATATTTTTAATCTTTTCAAAAATTTTTTATTTTGATAATTTTTTTGAATGTTTTTAATTATTTTTTCTTGAATAATTTTTTTTATTATTGACACTTTATTCCAACCGGCTTATTTACTGTTAAAGATAGTCAATGGTTAAATTTTTTTTGCTATCCTACTTGTCACGTTTTTTTTTTCTTTTTTGCTTTTATGTCACAAATTTTTTTTTTGATAAATTTTTTCTTTTTCGTTACATATGCCTTTTTTCTGTATAACATTGTCTGCACTGCTTTTCGGTTTATCTCTTGTCTTTCCATCAAAAGATAAATATTCTGACTCATGACAATAGCAGTGCTACAAAATGATTCAGAAAACCTTGGAAAAAAAATTGTCAATTCCAGTTACATGCATTTTCAGTAATTTTCATTTATTTTTATTAAATTTTATTTTCATTTCCATTTTTTTTTTAAATATTTAGTGTCAATTTTCGTCTTATTAATTTTATTATTAATTTTATTATTCTCCTATAAAAATGTTTTGCCTGTTTCATGAAAAAAAAGCGGAAATTTAAAAAAAATCTACTTTTTCATTACATAAAATTACGCAAACAAGTTTTTATTGGTCTCGTGAATTATTTTTTCAAAAATTGAAAAATTTATGAACAAAAAAATAATAAAAATATTTTTACAGTAATTAATTGGTTACTAAATTGGAAATTTTAATTTAAGTTTAAAATTTAAATTATGTAAAATTTAGAGGTAAAAAATTATAATTATTATTTTTATTTAATATTAAAAACTAATTTCTTTCCACAGGCAGCAAGTTTATCAAAACTACGATATCTCAATCTATCGAGGAATGGAATCAACGAAATTGGTTTGGCTGCTTTTGGAAAATTGAACGATTTGGCTGTTTTGGACTTATCTCGAAATCATTTGAATTATATTTCCACCGACACGTTTGTGACAAATTTGAAATTGAAAATAGTAAAACTTCAACATAATAATTTTAATCTTCACGTGCCCAAGTTACGGTCTTCGTCTATTACTGTAAGTATTTATTTATCTTTCATTAAAAAAAAATAATCAATAATAATAATTTTAATTACATTATTGTATTTATTATAAGTATTAATTATTAAGTAATAAATAAATAAATAAATAATTCAATAATTGGAAACAAATCAATAACAAATAGATGTAAATAACAATTGTGATCATTACCTACTTAATAATTACAATAATTAATAAAATTCTTTCCGAGAATTGAATTATTCTCAAAAATTTTAGTTAAATTCTTGGCAAGAATTGAATTATTTTCAAAAATTGGAATAAAATTCTGGGACGATTTGAATTACTTTCAAAAATTGTAATTAAATTCTGTAAATAATTCAATTATTTCCAAAAATAATTATTTTTAACTTATATAATAAAATTCAATAATCAAATTTTTAATTTTAATTATTAAAAACTTGAAAGAAATTCTACGTAATGTAAAAATTTAGGATTTTTTGAATAAAAAAATTTATGGGCTTTAATTATTTTTCAGGAACTCGATCTCAGTAGTTGTTTAATTAGCTATTTGCCTGTGGACGCCTTCGAGCATTTGAAGAAATTAAATAATGTCAATCTTTCGAAAAATGTCATGATTCAACTTCATATGAAAGCGTTGCAAAGAGTTCCAACTTTGGAAACTATTTCCCTTGAAGGGTAAGTTGAAATTTATTTTACTATTTAAAAATTTTTCCTATAATCGATTCAATAAGTTTTCAAGTTCTATTTTAATCTGATTATTAATTGATAATAGTAGTAAAATTTTTTTTAATAATTATCACAATAATCATATAATAGTAATCAATAAATTTTTTTCCCTATTTTTCGATAATCGTTTAAATACAACTTTTTTTTATTGAAATTTTTGAAAATAAATTAATTGTTTCTAATGAATTTTATTATTTATGAAAATAATTGAATTTTTTCCAAGAATTTAATGAAAGTTCTATTAAAAATAATTGAATTCTTATTAAGAATTTAATTAAAATTTTTTAAATAATTAAATTGTTTCAGTAAAATTGTATTTGAAAATAATTGAATTCTTTCCTACAATTTTATTAAAATAATTATTGAAATTATATTCTTTATACGTAAATAATTAAATTCTTGAGTAACAAAATCTAAATTAAAATGTATTAAATGAAATTGAATTCGTGAAAAAATTTTCATTATTCATGAAAATAATTGAATTCATTTGAAGAATTTTGTCATTTAAAAAAATAATTGAATTTTATTTATGTGAATAAATTATTTTTTGCGAAGAATTTTATTAAAATTTTTAGAAATAATTGAATTCATGGGAAAAATTTTTCATTATTTTTCAGAATAACTGAATTTTTCTAAAGAATTTTATTATTTATAAAAATAATTGAATTTTTGTGAAGAATTTTATTATTTATGAAAATAATTGATTTTTTGGAACAATTGTTTATTAAAAATTTTCGAAAAAATTTAATTTTTGGGAAGAATTGTATTAAATTTTTTGAAAATAATTGAATTTCTATGTTAAGAATTTTATTTTCATAAAGATAATTGAATTCTTAGGAAGAATTTTATTAAAATTTTCGAAAATAATTGAGTTTTTGCTAAGAATTTTAGTTTCTGGAAGATAATTGAATTCTCCGGAAGAATTTTATTAAAATTTTCGAATATAATTGAATTGTTGCTAAGAATTTTATTTTCTGGAAGTTAATTGAATTCTCTGGAAGAATTTTATTAAAATATTCGAAAACAAAATTGAATTTCTCCACAGAAATTTATTATTTTTGAAAATAATTGAATTTTTGGGTAGAATTTTATTATTTATGAAAATAATTAAATTTCTGAGAAGATTTTTATTATTTATGAGAATAATTGATTTTTTGGAAGAATTTTATTAAAAATTTTCGAAAAAAATTGAATTTTTCGGAAGAATTGTATCAAATTTTTTGAAAGTAATTAAATTTCTGCAAAGAACTTTATTATTTATGAAAATAACTGATTCTTTAGCAGACTTTTATTAAATTGTTTGAAAATTATTGAATACCTGCGAATAATTTTATTTTTATGAAGATAATTGAATTCTTAGGAAGAATTTTATTTTATTCATGAAAATAATTAAATTCTTTCAGATTAATTCTATCAAAATTTTTTTGAAAATTATTAGATTCCTATATAGAAATTTGTTACTTATGAAAATAATTGAATTCTTTTCAGAAATTTTATCAAAATTATATTTGAAAATATTTGAATTCTTTCCAGAAATTTAATCAAAACTATATTAAAAATAATTGAATTCTTGAATAATTTTTGAAAAATAATAAAATATTAATTTAATTATTTAATTGAATTTCAGAAACCCCTGGTCGTGCAATCGATTGATGCAAGAGACACAAAATTATCTCCAGAGTAAAAAAGTGAAATTCGCCCAATTCTGCGAGTCGTCAACAACTGGCGTGAAGAAATTCGAGAGAATGAAATTAGAAACACCAACATCGCCACCTAAAAAAACCTTCGACATTCGATTAACATTTCCCGATAAATCAACCGAACTTGAAGAACCGTGGGAAATGGTTAAAAATAACGAAGATGATAATGACGAAAATAATGATGATGATGAGATTTTTAAAACCCTTCAAGCTTTAAATACATCGCGAAATTATAATTTATCGTCTAATATGATTAATTCATCGCCGTACTGGTTCATTGGAATTGGATTTCTTCTCGGCAGTGCTTCGACATTAATTGCAACTTATCTTTGGCTCTACGCTGCAATATCGTGTAAACTATTAAGATTTTCACGTGAAACTGATCTCGATCGAACAAATGCAACATCATCCTCAGCGACCTCCTCATCATCGCAAAGAATATCTCTTCTACAAAATCTCTGGTCACAAAATGATGATCAAAATGATGCATTGTCAATTTGTCCCGGTACTCCACCGCCACCATATCGAGAAGTAATGCTACACAGAAGTTTATATCCATCTGTACGATGAAAAATTTATCCCAAAAAAGGGTCGTTTAAAAAATTTTCTCAAAAAAATGTTATTTGAACGAATAAATTCAATTTAAATCGTTCGTAAAGTGAAAAAAATGTTTATAACGATTATATATAATACAACGTTTATTAATACAGATTAAATTTTTTTTGTCTTAATTAACAAATAACATTTTAACAAAATTTCTTTTAAACGGACCCGAATTTTTGTATTTCTCGACCGAGAGTGTGACTTTTGTCTCGAGACAAAGGCGCAAAGATTAAAAGAGCCGCGTCTCTCTTTTAATTGAATAAAAAAAATTCGACATTTGATAAAATATCGAGTTGGTCACAAGCATAAATTTTGCTGACATAAGTTTTTGATTTATGTATAAAAAAATACAATTTACCGATTTTATTTTCTATTATAAAGATTTGTAAGATGTAAACAAATTTTTGTTAACAAATCAACAAATTATTTTTATTCTTAAAAGATTTTTGTACATTATTATTGTTTTGTGTAATCGTTTTTTGGGGAAAAATTATTTTCTTTTTAAGTCTAATCACAGCCGATAATAATCTTTTAAAAGCGATTATCTTAAGCCAAAGGAACTGATTTTGTTTTGTTTTTCAAATTGACCAGTGTTTTGAATATGTCTCACACCCACTGTTATTGTGATGAATATTTTAGTTCTTTACAAATAGTATTTCTAAGAGATAAGTTTCTAGTCCTTTATTTTTATTGTAAATATTTTTCGAGCGTGTAAATTTTGTTCATTGAATAAAAAGTTATTATTAAAAATTATACTTTGTTTAAATCATTTTTTTTCTGTTATTTGAAAACTAAAGTTTTCAATGTTGATAATAAACATTTTTTGTTAGTAAAAAAATTTTAATTTTTTTTATGAATTTACAGTTATTTTTATATTTACAGTCTAAGTGTTAATTTACACTTTATTCACACTTGAAATTTGACACTAGAAGTGGAATAGATTATTTATATATATTAAAATATGTGTTTTTAATTTCTTTCTTTTATAGCGAAAAATCTGCCAAATATATTTTTAGTGTTGAATTTAAAATTTTTAATATGAAAAGTAATTATGAAATTTAGTCAACAAGATTTATTTTGATTATAATTTGGTAATATTCAAATTTTGAACCTTTAAATGAACGAAATTTTTTCCAATATCATTATTTTCAAAACTTACTGACTTACAAAAAGCAAAAACAAAAATAACATTTTGAATCTTTGTGATTAATTTTTCTTTAATAAGAAACACAATATTGTCACAAATAAAATTTGAAGAAGAAAAAGAAATAAATAATTTTCGTTCATTTGAACTTTCAGAAATTTAGGGACAAAATTTTCTAATTTACAGACTTCGTACTCGATAATTAATTTTAAAAATGTAACAAAAATTACAGTTTTACAACAATTTGAAATTTTCAAAGATTTCAATTTAAAAATCTTTTGAAATTTAATTATTTTTAAAAATTCACACGACATTCAATAATATTCAATTATTATCTAAAATTTAAATTGAAATTCAATTTTAAATCAATTATTATTAGAAAATTCTACGAGAATTCAATTATTTAAATATAAAAATAAATGATTTATTAAATAATTGAATATTTCTTAAAATTAAATTTTTATAAAGAACTTTATAAAATTTTTTTTAAATAATTGAATTGTAACGAAGAATTTAATGAAAATTTATGGAAAATAATTAAATATTTTGAAGAATTTAATAAAAATTTGTGAGAATTGAATTTTTTCAAGGAATTTTATTAAAATTTTTTAAAATAATTGAATGTAATCGAGAAATTTTGTTTAAATTGTTTTAAAAATAATTGAATTTCTGCAAAAATTGTATTATTTATAAAAATAATTAAATTGTTTCCAAGAATTTATTTATTTATTTATTTAGAGAAAATTATTTAAAATAATTAAATTCTTGTGAAGAATTTTATTATAATTATGAAAATAATAACATTTTTTCGAGCAATTTAATTAAAATTATATTGTGTACGAAGCCTGAATTTATAATTCAAAGAAAAGAAAATAAAAGTACTTCCAGTTTAAATTTATTTCAAGAAAAGTAAAAAATCTGCAGTTCCTCGCAAATTTTTCGAATTTTGGTTTCTTTAAATTTCTTTTGGCAGATATATTGAGAGTAAACTTTTTTTTTGTTTTAATATTAAAAATAGATTAATGCAAGGAGGTAAATTTCGAAAATCCCCTCATTACCTTTTATGTATAGATAAAAGCATTATATCTCTCTAATCAGGTATCGTCATCCTTTTTTCCATATTGACTGACAAGTAATAATAATCAACTAAGTGGCGACGGCGTCTTCCTCGTCGGTGTTTTGGGAACTATCAGTATGCACTACTTTGCCCCCAATTGCGCTAATTATATTATCAATAATGTCTGGACTATACCTTGAACCACGAAGATTTGTAATGACACTTGCATTTTCATTACAGCCAATTGGTACCAAATCTGTTGGCAATATTAATTGAATATCATTCACAATTCCATCTTGTACATCGAGAATCAATTTTAAACGATGATGACTAGAAGTATTTGGCGTCTTCATTTCAATGTGACGTGTCACTGTGAATTTTGGTGTCTTGCCATAAATCCATTGCCATGAACGAAATTCTCCAGTTAATTCTTCAATACCTGTAAATAAATTATTCTTTTTTAATTGAAATATTAAAAAGACTAAAAGAAAATAATAATTACAATAATAAAGTATTCTGTAATCTTTTATATCTTTAAAACTAATTAAATTTAATCAAAATATTTTATTGAAATAGTATTGAAATAAATAATTTTTTTACATATTTTGCTTAATATTGAGAACTCGAATACCATACGTTTCGAGCGTAATATTTTCTAGTAAAAAATAATAATAATAGAAATTCTGAAATAACAATCAGCAAATTATCATATCAGCAAATAATCAAAGAAAATTTATCAGAAAAAATATCGTCTAGAGACGAAAATTATTTATCAATAAAATAATAATACAAATACTAATCATCTTTTATTTGAAATTCATTATTTTTTAATTAGCCAATAATTTGAAAATAGTTTCTTTAAATTTCGAAAGTTACGAAAAATTATAATAATAATAATAATACCTGGAAACCAGCCCTCAGTGGGATTTATCATTTGAAATCCTCTTTGTTTTTGAACTAAATTATAACCACCGTCTTCGGCGATAAGTGGCTTTGTTCGTAAAAATTCCCAGCCAATTGCATTCATTAATTTGTCAATTCTAACATGAGGATTAATTTCTGTCAGATTTTTCACTAGCGAACGTATCGATTGCGTTGCATTTGTCGTAATTCCCGTCTAAAAACAATTACTGATTAGAAATTATTATTTTTTTTATTTCTGTAAACTAAACGATAGATAAACTAAACGAATACTAAGAATTGTATCTTCTATAGACAAATATATATACAAAAGATTTATTTATAATTTTTAAATTTTTGTAGTTATTAATTACCTCTTTTCTCTCCAGAGCCAAACTCAGAGTTCGTTTATTCGCATCCACGAGTAAAGTACAATGATGATAAGCATTGGGTCGTCCTAATTTAGCAGCCGTTCCAGAAATCTTTTTTTTTTTAGAAATTAAGGAAACTATCATTGCAAACATACTTTTTATACTCTTATTATTTTTACTAAAAAGTAAAAAGAGAAGCAACTTTCTAATGAAAAAAAAGATGAATGATAATTTAAATAAATAAAATAATAGAAATAAAATAATAATCATTAAAATGAAATAATATTAAAATTATAAATAAAAATAAATAATATCTACTAAAAAATTCAATTTTTTCCAGGAAATGTTTTTTTCCTTGTAGAAGTACAAAAAGATGGTTTAGATTTGTTAAAGGATACTTTAAATTCATTTTGAACGACGATGTCATCTTTTTTGTTGACAGTTGTCTTTAGACCCCATTCTCTGAATATTCCTCTAGTGATAATGTCCAGATTGTATCGTCTATTGTAACGTTCTTTCGGTGTGAAAAAGGACAAATTAAGATTTCCCGAATCATGATAAACAGTACCGCCACCACTATTTCTTCTTGCCAGTGCAATACCATTATTTTCCAAAGACGAAATATTGGCTTCAATCCAAGGATTTTGATGTCTTCCAATAACAACACAAGGATCGCTCTTCCATAATAATAAAAGATGATGATTACGAAAATTATAATTCCTATAAAACCAATCCTCCAGTGCTAAATTTCTATGAATGTCCGTTGATTGTGAAATAAAGACTGATTTTTGTATTTCATCCTCAGGTACGTCAGTTGAAATATACCTTGTATTTTGTATCAAATTTCTTAAGAATACTCTAGCAATGTTTCTTTGATGAATTACAGACATTTTGTTTCTGTCTCAGTCTTTTATATTTCAAATACCTTATAGTCACTAATTAAAAACGGTTGACAACAATGAAAAGAGAGTCAAGGTCATTTGTCAGTCTAACACTAATTTCTAATTTTTTTTTAAATAAAAAATAGTCACTATATTTATCGATACGATATATGATTATATTACACTAGTCTTTGTGTTGTTAAAATTTTTTCTTCTTTTAACAACGTTTTTCAAGTGACAAAAAAAAGATCAAGTTTCGCTTTGTTTTGATGAAATTTTGAGGTTAGGTTTTCTGTTGACACGGATTCTTTTTGACAGGTATCAGGACCGACCTCCTTTTGGAAAAATTGTCTTGATCACTTCCTTTTTTTTGTCACTTTATTGACAAAAACAAGAATAAAAATCGGATTGATTGGAGGTGATTGATATGAGATAGTCGTGGAGGGCAATCGTTTGGTGCAACCACTTCCAAGTTTGGTCCAGCGAATTAATTCGGTACCTGATACCTAAACAATCTCGGCAGTCCTTTTGCATTCCTCCGTGTGCTGACAGATTGAAAAATCAAAAAAAAGGAACTTCTCTTTTAAAAAGGAGAAATGAGTTTTCTTTTTGTTCACTTGACGATTTTTTAGTCGCACTACAAACAAAACACTGTACGGGAATGAAAAGTAACTTTGTTATTTAAAAAAATAAACAATGGCACTCTATATACTCGATATCGGGATCACTTGTCAAGACGAAATGAATTCATAACTCGTTAGGTTTTGATGTTTTATCATTGCGATTCAGAAACAGTGGGGGGGCTTTTATTCTAAAAGGTTATCTGAGTTCGTGGCACAAAGTACAAATGATTGTGCGTGCTGCAGCGCAATGCACTTTTCTATGTTTATAGCCCACTAACACAAAATAGATCATTTATTTTCTAGAAAAAAATTCCCTATATTCTTTTGTGCGTATTATAAATATAATTGATTTATAAATTTATCAATAATCGTGTGATAACAATGTTACAAATTTTCGCGATCGCGAGAATAAAAGATTATTTATCTTTCGAAATATTCAGTCTTTTTTTAAGGGACAACTAAAATATCGATTATTTAAGTTCTAAAGTCCATTCTTTGATGAATTACACGATTCTACTACAATAATCACCTGCTGATAAAATATTAATAAAATAGAAAGAATTTTGTCAACTAGTGTTTTTAATATGTATATTTGAAATAAATTTAAATTACTTTACTCAATACTTTTTATACTTATTTTTATATTCTCCCTTTAGTTTGTAAAAATTTCTATTCCTTTTTTACTCACCAATTTTCTTATCACGAGAGACGTGATAGAAATCACGTGTGTCCACGCACTTGATGCGGAAATTTTATCAGTCTTCTTTTCTTAATATGCATACATTTGTAATACACTTTTATTATTTTTATTTATATTCGCAATATCTTATCTTAGAAAACATAAAAAGTCTACTCAGTATATCAAAATCGAATATACGACATTGTATTAATGAAATTGAACTTTGTTGTGAACTATAACACTGACAAAGTATTTTAATTAAAACAAATGTATTAATATCCAGAAATCAATTGTTTCTTTAAGTGATCTTAATTAGGAAAGGAAACTAAAATTATATTAATTGCAATATTAAAATAAAAGTAAAAATATTTTTTCGTAAATAAACAATTCAGTTGTAAACAAAAACAATGCGTTGACAATCTAACCTAAAAATACGATTTCGATGATTATATATAATATTTTGCAGTATATTATTAAAATCTTACGATAAATAAGTTAACTAAATACTTGTAAATAATATACAAACGTAAAACGATAATAAAAGTAATTAATAATTGCTTTAATTAATTAATTTAAATGATTTAAATGAAAAAAAACATTCCAGGTTTGTCAAGAGTAATAGGTAGATGTCGCTCTAAAAAAGCTCTCATTGGCTAGATTCAAATTTGCGCGCGTACATACTTCTCTAATTTTTTGAACGAGCGTTTGAACCATTGAATTTTCACGCTCGGTAAAAATGTAGTTTCTATATATTAATTAGAATGAGTTCTCAATTAGAATAGTTTAAAACTAGTAATTAGAAAATTAATTAATTAATTGCTTTTCTTTAATTGAATATTTAAAATTCCCGCAAATAATAAAATTGACATTTCAAGCGCATGCGTACGATCGTTTATGCGCAGAAAAAAGACGCCATTTGCCGCTGTCAAATATATATAGTTGAAATTTGTTGACGATGTTGACACACAAATCAACATAAATATATTTCATATATTTGCAAATAATGTATAAATTAATATAAAAAAGCACTAGTTAACTGTTAATTAAGAAATAGTTGAATTGTCCTCCAAATGAATTCTAATTTTTTACTAAAATACAGTCTATTTAATAAAAATTTAAACTTTATCCTTAATGTGAATTTTCCGGTATCGCAGTGAAATTGTTTTCACTTTTCTTTTTTAATGTAACATATTAGAAAAAATATTTCTTTTTCAATATGTTACAAACTCTGAGGGAACGTTCACAAAAGCGTAAAAAATTATTGGCACAAACGGTTAGTATTTATATTCTTTATTGTTGGAACAAAAGTTTTGAGGTTAGATTTTCTTTGTTAGAATTTTTAGAATTTCTTTGTTCTGTAACATTTTTTTGTTTATTACAGTTGGGAGTTGCAAGTCCTGTTGAACTTAGACAAATTTTAGGAACTGATATCGATGATATTAATAAAAAGAAAATTAGACTGTTATCAACAAAATCCGAGGAGGAAATTCAAGGATCAAAAGACGAGTCCGTTCCTACGGATGAGATTGTTTATAAGGATTCATCAACTTTTTTAAAAGTAACACTATTTTTCTTTGGCTTATTTATTTAAATGTTTTCTTCGCACGGTGAATATTTAATTTTTTTTTTACATAGCAAAATTTTTTTTATGCTTTTTTATAATTTGTTGTTTTAGACTTTTTTGATATGAGAATTTATTTTTATTAATTTGAATTATTTCAAGGGTACACAATCTTCGAATCCACACAACGATTACTGCCAACATTTTATTGACACGGGTCAAAGACCTCAGAATTTTATTCGTGACGTGGGTTTAGCCGATAGATTTGAAGAGTATCCAAAATTACGTGAGTTGATTAAATTGAAAGATGATTTAATATCGGAAACTGCAACTCCGCCAATGTACTTGAAGACAGATCTCGCTACTTATAATCTCAAGGATCTTAATTGTAAATTTGACGTTATTCTCATTGAACCACCACTCGAGGAATATCAAAGGACATGTGGTGCCACTAATGTTCAGCTCTGGAATTGGGATCAGGTTCAATTAATTTATTATTATTAATATTAGAATATATTAATTATAGAATTTAAAGAATTAAGAATTAAATTAAAGAATTAATTTAAATTTAAAAAAATTAAAAGAATATATTAATATTAGAATTAGAAAGTGTAGTCACTTTAAAGTTATTTTCTATTTTCAAATTTTAAATAGTAAATCGATTTGTTGATTTATTTTTTCTTCTTTTCAATAGATAATGGATTTGGATATTGGAGAAGTGGCAGCAAATCGTAGTTTTGTTTTCCTCTGGTGCGGCAGCAGTGATGGATTAGATATGGGTCGTTATTGTTTACGTAAATGGGGTTTTAGACGTTGTGAGGATATTTGTTGGATTCGGACGAATATCAATAATCCAGGTCATAGTAAAAATTTGGATAGTAAAGCAGCGTTGCAGAGAACTAAAGAACATTGTTTGATGGGCATTAAGGGAACAGTGCGAAGATCGACAGACGGGGATTTTATACACGCAAATGTTGATATCGATCTTATTATATCCGAGGAGCCCGAATATGGATCTATTGAGAAGCCCGTGGAAATTTTTCATATTATTGAACATTTTTGCCTTGGTAGACGAAGGTATTTTACATTATTTCATTCTCTTGATAAATAATCTTTTACTAAAATACGGTATAATTAACTATTCTTATTTATTATTTTCTAGAATATTAATAAAATTCTTGGCAAGAATTCAATTATTTTTTATAAATAATACAATTCTTTGCAGAAATTTTATTATTTTCAATAAAAGATTAATAAAATTCCACAAAAGAATTCATAAAAACTCTAATAAAATTTTCTTTATTTCATTTCTTTTCTTTTCTTTTGAAAATGTATGTAATTTTTTAGACTCCACCTTTTTGGTCGGGACAGTACAATACGACCTGGATGGCTGACAGTTGGACCTTCCTTGACAAATACAAATTTTAATTCTGACATTTACACAAGTTGTTTCAATAATGGACAAATAACGACAGGCTGTACTGAGAGAATAGAAGCACTGCGACCAAAATCTCCACCGCCAAAGGGCAAATCAGTGGGAAGAGGACGAGGTGGTTTCAATCGTGGTCGAGGTAGAGGAAGGTAATAATAATTTCAAATACCATTTTTTTTATGAATTCTATTTTTTAAATTACAACCAGATACAGTATTAATTTTTTTTACCTGACTGTATTTCGTTTAAAAAAATTTAATAAAAATTCCATTCAATAACTTACCATTGAACTGCATTTCATGTCGTAGTATTTCGTTGAAAAAAAATTCTCTTTTTTAAAAATTTAAAAATTTCTCCCCGCAACTCTGGATTGACAAAGCACGAATGAACTGCAGAAACGTCAGAAAAATACATGCGAGACAAAAAGAAAATAAATATGCTTTGGAAATAAAAAATGAGGGTTTTTTCAAAAAACAAGAAATTTGTGTGAAAAAAAATCATAATTGTTTAAATTCAATTACATACTTGAAAATATAATATATGTACAACCCACGAGATAAAACTCGCCTTGAATTTGTAATACTGTACAATAAAGTATTAAACCTAATTTTTTTTTCTTGCAACAAAAAGTATAAAATTCAAAGCTAGAACAAGAGTCGGTAAGGATTGTTTTTTTTTCTACTAAAAAAAAAAAAAAAGATTGATGAAAACTTACATATGAACTATTGTTACTCAAAAAAAAATATGTATGAAAATTAAATAATTTTCTAGCCTCTAACTGTAGTTTAAAAAGAAACAATGTCTAACTAAGTTAAAACATTGCTTTTTGAGTAGTTCTTAACTACACTTTTAAATAGGAAAAAAAAATTTAAAAAAAAACTATTTAGCGGTTGACACCGACGTTATAATCGTTTGAGAAAAAAAAAAGTCTTACAATCGGTCTAATTAACTATATGGTCTATAAATTAATAGTCATAAAATTGACAATGCATCACAGGCTTGTCCGAAGAATTTTTTTTTTATAAGGGAGAATGCGGGGTTTTTTTTGTTTTTGTTTTGCATGCTTGGCGGATGACAGCAGGATGACGATGATCAATCGATTGAACAATTGATTGATAATCAAGCGGTGCGTTGCACTTGGGAGTTGATCGTCTGTGAGGAGATTAGCTCTGATTGGCCCGCCATCAGTCAAGTCACAAAGTCACAAGTACGTCGACTCCCCTGTAAAAGACCTAACGTCAGTCAAGCCGTTTTCTTTTCTTTTTTTTCTTAAATTTTATTTTCTAATCGCAATCAGTAGATAATCAAATTTTTCATGAAAATATATATATTTTTCTTCTTTCTATATTTTTTTTATTTTGTTTATTCATTACGAAATTGCTTCATCAGCAAGTTTCGAGTAATTTATAGATAATTTCACTCCCAGGGTGTCTATTTTTTATTTTCTCTTTGGAAAAATTTTATTTTACGATAAAAATGTAAATAAATTCCAAATATTTTTTTTCACGAAAAATTAAATTTCCCGATAAAAATGCAGTTCAATAAATGACAATTTTTTTTATTATCATTAATATTAACTTAAATTTTAAAATGATTTCAGATTTTAAATTTCAGAAAATTCACTTACTAGCTAATTAATTATTTTTATTTATTATTTTTTACAATATTTTTATTAGGTATTTAAAAATATTTTTTATTCAATTATTTTCAAAAATGTTAATAACATTCTTTGCAGGAATTCAATTATTTTTATAAATGTTAATAACATTTTTTGTAAGAATTCTATTATTTTCATTAATAATAAAATGCCTCGAAAGAATTCCGCATTATTTTAAAATTTTTTTATAAAATTCCTTGAGAGAATTCAATTATTTTCAAAAATTTTTATACAATTTTTAATTTAGAAATTAGAATTGAATTATTTTCAATCCAATCTTAACTATATTTCACGAAAGAATTTTATTATAATTTGCAAAAATAAATTTCTAGAATTCTTTCTAAAAATTTTTATCTAAATTTTTGAAAATAATTTATTTTTTTAAAAGAATTTTTGAAAAATTTGCTTATAATCAAGCTATTAAGAAATTAACTCAAATTGTATTGGAATAATTTGAATTATAAAGAATGTTGTCTTAATTTTTGAAAATAATTGAATTGCTTCGACAATTTTATTAAAATTTTTATAAAATAATTGAATCTTTACGAGAAATTTCATTGAAATATTTTTAAATAATTGAATACCTGCGAAGAATTTTGCTATTTATAAAAATAATTATTATTTGTAAAAATAATTGAATTTTTGTGAAGATTTTTTTTTATTTCTAAAGAGAATTGAATTTTTTCGACAAATTGTTAAAATGGTAATGAAAATAATTGAATTATAAAGAATTTAATTTACATTTTTTTAAAAATAATTGAATCTTGACGAGAAATTTCATTGAAATATTTTTAAATAAGTAAAAACCTGCAAAGAATTTTGTTATTTATGAAAATAATTGAATTCTTGAGAAAAATTTATTTAAAATCTTTTGAAAATAATTGAATTCCTTCTAGAAATTTTAATAAAATTCTATTGAGAATTAAAGTCCTGCGAAAAATATTATTTGTCAAAAAAAATTAAATTCTTGCTGAAAATATTATTATTTATGGAAATAATTGAATTCTTTCAAAGAATTGAATTAAAATGCCATTGGAAATAATTGAATAATAAAGAATTTTATCTAAATTGTTAAAAATAATTGAATTGCTTTGAAGACTGTTTTTAAATAATAAAATTTTTTATTAGAATTGAATTAAAATTATATGGAAAATATTTGAATTATAAAAATTTTTATCTAAATTTTGGAAAATAATTTAATTCTTTTAAACAAATTTATCAAAATTTGTAAGAAATATTAATGTTTTTTCTAAAAATTTTATTAGAAATAATTTATTTTCTGGGAATAATTAAATTCTTGCTAGGTAAACATTTAATTAAAATTATATTGAATTATAAACAATTTTATCTAATTTTTCGAAAATAATTGAATTCTTTTGAGAAATTTTATTGAAAATTAAGTTGAAAATAATTGAATTATTGACAAACAATTTTATTAAAATTTCAATCAACTATCTTTGATAAAATTTTAATTAATTTCCTTTAAAGTCTTTAATTATTTTCAAAAATTTTATTTCCCTTTAAAAATGCACTTTTTCCCTAATTTAAATAAATTATAAAATTTTTAATGTAATTATGTAGAATTTTAATATTTCTTGTTTTCTAATTACATTTTTTTCTGTTTCAGGTCTTCGATCAAATAGACACCCTGTTCAATCAAAATCAATAAATTACACACACTGTAATTCAAATGCAGTTTTGTAATTTTTTTCTTGTTTGTAAAAAGAAATTTTTGCTGGAAAAAAAATCGTTTGGATGGAAAAAATAAAATTAGAACATTATAAATGAGAAATGAAAAATATGAAACCAATACACACAGCAGAAAGTTTCCAAAATTAGCACAAAAAAAATGAGAATGAAGCAGAAATTTTCACAAAAAGAAAGCAAAGAGGAAATGAAAAGAAAAAACAAAAGTAACATTTTTCACGTCGAAAATTAAAAGAAGGAGACAATAGTAAAAACAAAAGGACAATAGAAACCAAAAAATTGAATTGTGCAGTAATTAGTAGAGAAAAAATAATTTTTATTTCTTTCGAAATATGAAATTAGAAAAAAAAATTGGGTGAAATAAGCTGTCAAATTTTCTCTTTTGTATAGAAAATTCACGTCACTATTTTCTATATCGAAAATTAAAAAAATATTTTTTCAAAAATACGTTCAACGAGAGTTAAAAAAAAACTAATAAGTGGTTTTTATTAGAGGGGGGATAATGAGGTATTAGAGGAATCATTAACTTGTTAGTGCAAATTGACAGGTGTTACGTATTTTCTTTCCTTTTATTGGATTCATCATTCATCATTTGAGTGTCAATTTTCAGCGAAGATTCCTATTATTAACCATATTATATATTCACAAGTTATTTACAAAAAGAAAAATAAATTAAAAAAGGTTCAAATGAAAAAAAAACACAAACATTTTCTTTGAACAGTCCAAGAAGGCCTTTTTTTCTCAAATTGTTCTCTTAGTAACTAAAATCTAATTTGAATTTCATTTTTTATTACTAATTCCTCAAATGAAAATTTAATTAAGTTTAATTAAATTTAAATTCCTTTTTAATTTAATTTCCGTTTATTTAATGAAATTATATTTAATTTAATTTAAATTTCTTTATTTAATTAAATCAAATTTAATTTAGAAAAAATATTTGATTTTATCACTCGGTGAAAAATTTGTCTTAATTTGCAAACATTGAGATGAGGGATCATTCCGAGTCAAGTAGTAATTAATTTAATTAATTTAATTAAATAAATTAAATTTCATTTCATTTTTATTTCATTAAATTTAAATTTAAAAATAGAAAATTTTTTCCCCAATTGGAAATTTTGTGTATATTTTAAAATTACTGAATTATTATTATTAGTAGCAGTAAAAATTGAAATATATATTTAAGTAATTTTTATACAAACACTTCTTTCCTTTCTCTCTATAAATTTCATTTATATATATACTTTTTTTCTATAAATTCGTTATAGTTTAGTTTTGAGAAAATATTCGAGAAAAATTATGTAATATTTGTTTTTGGACCGCCAGTGGGGTTTTTTTTTCTTTTCTTCAAAAAGAATTTGAAAAATAAATTGAACCATGAATTTAAAAATTTTCGAATTTCTGAATTCAATACGAATCTCCACTGATTATTATTATTTTTTTTTTTTGAGATTCGCTCTCTCTGCACAGATTTCGATTTTCCTACGTTTCTTAATTTCTTTTGATTTTTTAACATTCATAACTTTTCGTGATACACTTTTTACGCGCACATTATACAAAATGCAAGGAAGATATTTGTATATTTATACGCTTGTGAAGTATTCTTTTCTTTTTCTTATACAATTTGTTAACATTTATTCTTCGAGCTAATAGTGTAGTTTTTTTTTAAAATCGTAACCGTAGGAGAATCTTTATTTTTGTTTCTTCCTTTTTTATAATTCTACCAACATTTAGGTACTTGAACTACAATACAAAAAACGATATTATAACTGGGAAATTTTTCTTTTAATTATTTGGACTCGATTTCTCGTAACAAAATTCATTTCTAAAAAAAAAACTCAATCTAACGTTAGTGTACAATTTTTTCTTCAATTCGTAGATATGCTTTACATAAGTTTCTTCGAAAAAAAGAGAAATAATTCTTTACATGGTATAAAAATTTGTAATTTAAATCGAATTCCGTTCTTGCATTTTTGTGCAAATATTTGTCGAAAATTCTAAATTAATAATTTCATAATTAAAAAAAAGATTCTTTTCTTTTTTTTGGGGTGCGAAATTCCAAAAAGAATTTAAATATAAATAGAAATCGAAACGATATCATATACACTATAGATTAAATCGAATATCAATGATAGTTTCTAATTATTGACTTACAATTTACTCCTTATGAAAATAGTCGCTTTTTCTTTACAGTATAATTTTTTTTGTCAGTCCGTACTTTACATAAATCGTACTTCTTTTTTTTGTTCTTACAAGAAATTCTCATTTTCTAAAAATGGGAATTCAGTATTCGTCTCTTTTTTTTATCTCGTCAGATGTTTATTTTTTCTATGCGTAAAATTAATTTTTCTTGAAAAATACAAAAAAAATCGCCTCTAAGAGCATTTTTTTAATTACATTAAATTAGTATGTAGTAAAAAGAGGAAAATTTTATTCAGTTTGAAAAAAAAAATATTTTCTGCTTTTTATTGGGCCCAATATGTCGACTACGGATTGTTTAAATTTGAATAAAAAAAACTGTTCGATAATATCTAGAACAGGCGCTTTCCCCAGGTCAAATTGTTTCTCAGCTTAAAATAAATTAATATCTGTGTAAGTTTCTTTTTTTTCTTTCTATCATTATCACAATGTTTCATGTTCCTCATTGACAATACTTGGGAGAATTGCCAAAAATTTCGAAAAAATCGAAGACTACCAGAGAATTTCGTAATCACAATAAATAATAATTTCAAATTTATTCTTTTTTATAAAAATATCCTTTTTATCACAAAACAAAATCTTCAATTAAAAACATTTCGAATGATTTTATTGTCGAGAAACTATTAAAAAAAAATAATTTACAACATATTTCCTAAAATAAAATTAGAATCACGGTCGTCATTTTTAATAAAAACGAAAAAAAATCATAGTCGAGATTAAGAAAGACTTATATTTTATCATTTTTTTTTCTTTATCACAAAAGCTTTCGTTGGGTGATAATTCTCTGGGTTACTCGGATCATATCACGTTGAAAATTCAACACAATTCGGATGAAAAAAAAAATTGTCGAAAATAAAAAAAATAATAAATAAATAAAATGATTCCGAGAGAATACCAGAATCGATTGTTAATCGAATCAGTAAAATGTCAAAAAAAAAATGACATCAAAAGTAGAGAAAGAGAGAGAAAGAGAGATGAATGTGCGAGTGTGATAGGCGATGAACTCACATAATATTAATCATCCCTCCATCAGACAGAAGACGGTATCGGCCCACACGTTGATCCACTGGTGGCGAACAAGACAATATTTTTATATAGAGAAGAAATAAATTCAATTTACAAAGAAAAAACAAGAAAAAAACTTTTACAAACATGTCGATTAATTAATCAAATCAATTTCTTTCGGAAAAAAAGAAAATTTGAAGAATTTCCTTTTTTTCTTGATTTTAATCAATTCGATTCCGGAACAATCTCGCTATCGATTCTTTCACATTGAAATTTCTCGCTTTTCATCTTTTTCATCATTTTTTCCAAATAGGAATTTCTTCCAAAAAAAGAAATTAAATTTTAGTCGACGATAAATTAACACAAAAATTAATACTTTGAAAATTTAATACACTAATATTTAGAAAATACTTGTAATATTTGTTCCGGAAACTTTGATCAACATTTTTCTTACGTAAAAATTTAATTACAGAGTTGCCACAGGTCAGAGGATTTTTTCAAATGTACTGAAAAAATATTTAAATTTTAGAATATTTTAAAGAAAATTCTGAACTTTTTTGTTTAACAGTCTTCTTTTAAAAGAAAAAAAAATGTTTAATTTAACTTTAAATTCTTTCAATTTCTATAAAAATAATCTCATTTTACAGAATTGATATTGAATTTATTGAAAATAATTTAATTCCTAAAGAATTATCATAAACTTTATTATTTAGGAAATAATTTTACTTAAAAATTCGAAAAATAATTGTACATTATTATTATTAAAATTCTTTCGAAGAATTAAGTTAAGATTGAATTGAAAATAATTGAATTCTAAATAAAGAATTGTATACAAATTTTTGAAAATAATTGAATTCTCTTAAGAAATTTTACTAGTTACGAAAATAATTGAATTCTTGCAAAGAATGTTATTAATATTTTTGAAAATAATTGAATAAAAAATATTTTTAAATAATATTAAAAAATATTGTAAAAAATAATAAATAAGAATAATCAATTAGTTAGCAAATGATTTTTCTTAAATTTAATTCCTGAAATCATTAAAAAATTTAAGTTAATATTTGATAATAAATCAAATTTTTGTGGCAACCCTGAATTATTAACACTCAATAGTAAATTAACAATAATGATGAAAGCAAGAAATTTCAAGATACTCGAGATTTACACAAAAATAAAAAAAAAATGTTTTCTTTCCTAAAACACTCAACAACTTTTTGAGAATTTTCAATACCAGAAGAATAATTTCCATATTTTCGAAGAATTAAAAAGTTTTTTTATTGGAAAGGAAACTTTACCATTTCTTTAATTTTTCCTCCTCCTCCCCCATTTTTCCAATTAATTATCTGGCATTGAAAATCCTTTTTCTACTTAATCTATTATAGAAATCAGAAAAAAACTGACAAAAATCTCATCCAGCAAACATGCGGCTTAATTATTAATTAAAATCAAAAAATCTTCGACAGGAAAAATAAACGAATACAATAAATATTCTAAAACGCAAACGATCGACTAAAAAAACACACATCGAAACTAAAAGTACACATTTTTTTCTCCAAAAGAAGCGGGGTGATTTACAGAAGATACTGAATATTCTTACAATATGTGCGTATAATTTTTTTTTTTGCAGAAAAATATCAATTACAGAAATACATATTTTTTTAATGATACGAATTAAATGTATGTATTTAAAAAAATGATTTAAAAAATGATTTAAAAAAATACTTAAAAAAAATATTTAAAGAATATTTTAAAAAAATATAAAAAATTAATAAAAACTATTAATAATAATAATAGTAGTGACGTTGGGTGATACTGATAAATATGATAAGTGTTGTAATAATAATAATAATAATAATAATAATAATAATAATAATAATAATAAATGAAGAAAAAAAATCAGTAGCAATAGTTACAAGTGAAAGATGTAATAACTGCGATAGAAGTAGTAGCAATGATAATTTTCTAGCGATGACAGTATTTATAACAATAACAATTAAAATAACTATATCACAAAAATAATCTTTCTTTCTTTTTTTTGTACACAAATGCAAAAATCATTTTATCATAACTGCATTTGAATTTTTTTCTTTCGAGTAACGAATAATTTATTCGCTTTTATCAACATGCGATGACACAATAAAAACATTTTAAAAATTCCTAATCTTTTTCATTTTCTTACATCTCAACAAGTACTTAAGAATTCAAATTATCTCCTCTAGTTCCATTTTCATAATTAATTATAGAAATTAGGTAATCGACATATATCATGCGGTCTAGTCGTTATAAAAAAAAGAAAGATAGTAATTCATTAACCACAATTTATTATCAGTTTCTTTTTCTAAATACTACTCAAAGAATTGTGTAATTTAGAGAAAAAAGATTTTTACAAAATTAAAATTAGCAAGAATGAGAAAGGAAAATAAATACCTAAAATTTAAGAAAAAGAATTTACGCTTTTTTTTATTTAAAAAAATAGAGAAAAGAATATAAAAAAAAGAATAGAGAAAAAAAAGGAAAAATAGTGAAAAGAATATCGAAAAAAAGTAAAGAGGAAAATGAAGAAAATTGCAATGAATAAGGAAAGAAGAGTATACAAAAAGATTAAAAATAAATTGCAAAAGAAGCAAATGGCAAATTGAAAATTAAAGCCCTGCTCTTTTGAAATTTCTAAACAAAAAAAAAACTCGTCAGACTCAAATTTTCAGTTCGTTTTAAGCCTTCCAACAAAAAAAAAAAATTGCCTCCTTGATCACAATGTCAAACCTTTCTTTCCATAAAAAAAATTGTCAAAGAACAATTTTGATTCCAAAAAAAACGAGAAACTTTTCTAAAACCTTCTACTTGATAATTTTGAAATTATCAACTTTTCTTTTTTGTAAAAAAAATATCCAAATTCAAGGTTAAAAAATTTCTAAATAGTTAAATACAAATCTATCCGAAGGATAAAGAGTATAAAAGCCTGAAGGATAAAAAAAAGTAATAAAAGATAATAAAAAGAAAATAAAAAATAATAAAAAGAAAATAAAAAGTAATAAAATAGAATAAAAAGAAAATAAAAAATAATAAAAAGAAAATAAAAAGTAATAAAAGAGAATAAAATACTAAAAAAATAATAAAGTAGTAAAAAAATATAATAAAATAAACATTAAAAATTAAATCACGCAAAAGTAGAAATCAAGCTAACTAATTTTTCGGAAATAAAAAATTTTTCCTAATAATTTATCAATTCAACGACAACGATTTTCCAAATAAAAATTAACAATTTACAGCTAATTATTACAATTTTCTAATAAAAAAAATTCTCTCCTTTTTTTGTACAATATTTAAAAATTCTCTTCCTTTGCAAAACAAAAACAACTATTAAATAGTTTTGTTTTTATTTATAGAAAAAAATACACCGACTAGGTTAAAAATTTTCAATACACGTCTTAAATATTCCAAAAAAATAAAAGAAAACTCACTATCTACTATATCGTACAAAAAATTCTCTACTTTATTAAAAAAAAAAATTTCATTCTCGATCTTTATTCACGTTCACCAAATCAATTTTCGCAAAATTGTATAATAAATTCTATATTTTTATAGGGAAAAATACTTTTTTGTTTTCTCAAATCGAACGCAAAGTATAAAAAAAAATCGAGAAATTGTGAAAAAGTATAAAAACAGTCACGACTTAAAATAAGATAAAAAATTTGTGAATTGACTAAATTCGGTTAATCTAGTTAATCAACAAAATTCAGTAAATTCAGTTCATTTAGTTAATCACCAAAATTCAGTTAATTGAATGGGCTATTTTTGTTAAAGAAAATAACAACTTTTGTTCAGCCAATTGAATATCTTTTTTTTTTTTTGTTCAGCGAAATTTCAGGGAATAAAAAAGAAAAATGAGGAAAACTACGAGAAAAACAAATAAATTGAAAGAGGAAGCGAATAAGTACCAAGAGCAAAACTAATTATCGAAGGTGGCAGATCTTAAATACAAAATACCGAGGAACGTGTTTTAACACTGATTATGGTGCTTTCTATTGTATTTATAATATTTTTTTTCTTTTTCTTTTTACTACTTCTACCCATTATCTCCAAGTGAAACCCTTAACAGTTTCTTTGAGACTAGCTCTGTGGTGAGTATTGGTTTGTGTTTGGCTACTGCTGTGTGTAAGATGAATGTGATTTGCCATCAGAGATGTAGAAGACTCACCCGATTCCCAACCATCCTCGTCACCAGTGGTGTCACACTCACTACTGTCAGCTTCACTCGATTCACTTGGCGTCTCCTGTCCTCCCATTCCAATTTGTACATTCTCACCTTCCCTGCTCATTGTTCCTGGCACTGTAGACGGAATGTTCCCACCTACACGATGCAAATATAAAGTTACCTGCAAAAAAACAATTAACATCCAATTAGTTCATTTACATTCTTTTCTTTTTCAAATTTTCTCAATATTTAAATTGTCATTTTTTAATATCAATTGTAATTTTTTAATTTAAATTAGCAACAATTAACTAACTTTTTACTCAATTTTTTCAATAAAATTAGCAATGTTAAAAATAATAGAACATAAAAATTTGTAATTCTTTATTATATATTCTGACACAGGGAATTCAGGGAAAAGTCAGAAATATTTATTAAAAGTATTGAAAAAAATTAAATTTTTAGAATTCATAAGAAAATTTCGGAAAATTCTGAATTTTTGTTTGCCTCACAAACTAATTAGAAAAATAGAATTTTTGGAATGAATTTATTATTTATAAATATAATTGAATTGATTCAAAGGATTTATTAAAATTTCAGAAAATAATTGAATTCTTTCATGACATTTTTTTGAAAGTAATTAAATTTTTGTAACGAATTTAAAAAATATTGAATTCTTTCGTGAAATTTTTTTTGAAAATTATTGAATTTTTGTAAAAAATATTAATATTTTTATTAATAATTGAATATTCACAAAGAATGTTATTATTTATGAAAATAATTGAATAATTGCAAAGAATTTTATTAAAATTTTTGAAATTAATAATCAAGAATAATTAATTAATACTTAATTGGAATTTTTTTAAAGTTTGAATTTTAAATTATTCAAAAATTTATATTTGAAAATAAAAAATGTAATTTTTATAATAATTTTTTAAGAATAATTACATTTTTCGAGGAATTTGATTAAAATTATATTAAAAATAATTGAATTATTGCGAAGAAATTTATAAATTAATTTGTAAATCATTGAATTCCTATGAAATTTTTATTATTTATGAATATAATGAAATGTTTACGAAGAATATTAATAAAATTTTTCAAAAATAATTGAATTTCTGCAATCATTTTTAACTTTTCCAAAATTCAATTTTTTTTGTGTTTTTAGCTAAAAATCTTCTACAAAACCATTCATTTTAATAATGAATTAAATATATTATTAAATTTTTTTACTAATTTTAGAAAAATTTGAATTATTAAAATTGTTCAAAAATCTAAGTTCTTTAAAATTTATAATTTAATTCATTCAAAATTGTAATTTTTTAATTTAAAAAACTGTAATCGAAAATAGTTTTAAATTGGAATTTATAATTGTAAATTGTTTAAAGTTTTAATGTTTTTCAAATCTTAACTAATTTTAAAATGCAATTCTACTTTCATTTTGTTGTTAAAATAGTAAAAGAAAATAGTAATAGAAAAAGATTGATTACTTTGAAATTTGCATCGTAGAGTTTGTGATGTTTGTCCTTATGGGCATCATCCAAGCCCCACTTGTCTATATTGACTACAAGAGTTGGTGGCGTAGGACCTAAACTCGCTAAACTGCCAGTTCTCTGTTTTGTGTGTGAAGTAACCATGGGAAGCTCCATCGCAGTTCCATCACAACTCAATGCTCTCGTCGATCTTTCCACTGGAAGTTCTCCATTGTCATATTCCGACGTCAAATGATCTCGTACAAAAAATGTATTTATCCAAAAATGAAACATTTTTTCCTGTTGAAAAAAAAAATTTTTTATTTATTAACATTTCTTATTCAATATTAAAATATTTGCAAATATTTCAATATTTAAATATTAAAAAATTATTTTCTTATTTAAATACGATTGAAAAAGACATACTTTTCTCTTCATTTTTGGCCTGTTGAAGAACTCTATTCGAATGTCACCAGTGACAGGAACACTGTGTTTTAGAGGCATTACTAGAGGTAAGGAGTTAGTGTTTTTTCGTACTTCGAACGGGTCAGAGGTAAATATTTTTCTTTTACCTTCCGATATCACAAAATGCACGTCTGAAAATAGAAATTAATTTTAAAGAAAATTGAAAAAGAGAGAAAATTGTAATAGTAATTTTTTTCATAGAAAACTCACAGCCTTGGCTTCCGTTAAAAATAGGTGCAGGGTCCAGTTTTATTTGACGTAAAATTAAAGTTACTGGCTCGTAATGAAGACCTTCTTTTACTAATGTCGCATAATAACCGACGTATCTTCTTTGCGAAGGTATTGTCACCCCTTTCCTGCAAAATAGAAAAAAAGAATTAGAAAATTCTAATCGACATTATTTCGTAAAAAAGAAAAAAATGTTATAATTTTACTTACATATCAGTGGTTCTTTTGTTTCCATAAAATTTGAGGGCTTCATTTGCGGATGGAAATTGATGACTATGCAGAAGATAGCAACATACCATAACACCCGTTCGTCCTTTACCTGCTTTACAATGAACAACTGCAACGTTATCTTTATCCTCTGACAGCCATTTATGAACATCTTCGCAAAATGGTTTTATAAGTTCCAACATTGGTGGATTGTGATCATCAAATGCGTAAGTTGCCACTCTTTGCTTGAATTTTTTACAGTCGTACGACCTTTCAGAGCAGCTAAAATGGAAAAATAATTATTCATTTTCAAAATAAATTCACAATTGATTCAATTTTTTTCATTTTCAATTTTTTTTCTATTTTCATTCCTTTTAATCAATTTCTTTACAATTGAATTTTATTCAATAAAAAATTGTCTCTACTTTTAATAAATAAGATAAAAAATGAAAAAAATACATATTTTTAATCAATATAAATATTGGAATAATTAATAATGCCGGTACTTACAGATTATAAATTTTATAATGATCCTTGTGTTTGGACTCTAATAATTTAACCACATCATCAATGTGGTTCCTATAAACTCCCTCGAGCTTTTCAGCCGGGAATCCCATAGCTATTAAATTATGTTTTATATCTATAAACAAACAAATATTAAGGAAAAACAATACAAATTAATTTTTTCAGTAAATTTTAGTAGAATTCTCCTCAAAAATTCAATTATTTTCAAAATTTAATAAAATTATTCGCAGGAATTCAATTCTCAATAGAATTTTATTAAAATTACTTTAAAGGAAATCAATTATTTTCAAAGAATTGTAATTTAATTCTTCGCAAGAATTCAATTTTCAATAGAATTTTTCGCTGGAATTTAATTATTTTCAAAAATTTTAGTAGAATTCTCCACCAAAAATTCAATTATTTCAGATTCAAAATTATAAAATTTACAAAAATTAATTTTTATTTTAAACAAAACAGTAAAAAATCCAGAATTTATCAAATTTTGTGAAAGTCTTTCTATAAGAAGTAAAAATAAAAGAAAAACGAATTAAAGTTTCAAAAAATTGAAATAAAAATTGATTTAATTTCAAAATGACTTCCAAAATTTTTATTAGAGTTTTTATGAATAATTAAATTAAAATAATAAAACTTTTTCTAATTTGGTACAAAAATTCCCGGTTTGGCATAAAATTTCTGGCTCATTCCCGGTTTTTCCGGGTCAAATTCCGGGCTATTTCCCCGTTTTTCCAGTTAATAGACACCTTGAATTTAAGATTTCAATCGATAATTTAGAATTGAAATATAAAATTCATATAAAATATTGAAATATAAAATAATATAAAAAGAATTTATAATTAGAATTTTTAATAACTAGTTTTGATTAAAAATATAAAAATTTTATACAATAGGTAAAATAGGTGAAAATCAACGAAATAGATTGAAAACATTTTTAAAAAAAAAGTTGAAAAGGCGATAGTCTGTGATCTCGGTAAATGTTCCAAATGAATGAATTTAATTTTTCCCCTTTTTTCGAGGCTATTTTTTGAAATTTCTCTTTAAAAAGGATACATGAGAGATCAAGATCGAATCCATCTTCGGTAAAACGCTTTCGCCGTTTACTGACCAACCCCTTTATGGGGTTGGTCATTTTAATGTTGCTGATGGTGTTTGCCATGCTTGGTTGATTTTGTTTTACCTCGCTGGCTTCACTTCCGACCGAATCTGCTTCGGTTTCCTCCTCACCACCTTCCTCTCTATCCTCCCGTTTTTCCTGGGGAGCCTTAATCTGCAAACAAAAAAACAAATTAGTTGCTTTAAAAAAAAAATTATTTAAAAAAGATATTTCAAAAAAAAACTATTCAATAATAAAATCCTTCCTCTATTAGGAAGCAAAAAGGATGAGAAAAAATTACTAAATAGAAAAATTATTATCTAAAAGATAGAAATTGATATAATAATAGAATTTAATCGTTAGAAAAAAGAGAATTTCAAAATTATTTCGAAAAAAAGGACGAACCTGTGGCTTTCGAGCCGTGGTATTACACGAACCCAATTCTGGTCCTCTTTGTTCCTCCAGACAAACATGGAGGGGTGTTACCGACGCCGAGATGTGCTCTGAGATTTTGTTGTTAAGGCGACTACTCGTGGGTCTCCTGCAGGAAAAGCATATACCCATCAATTCGTAGAACATAGGTCCTTTTTGTTATCCATCTCGCGGTGTCCTTTAAACCTCCGACGAAAATCGGATTTCTAAATTCACTATTAAATCACCACCGCTAAAATTTATTTATTTTTTTTTTTTGGCAAATAATTTTGCCAAAACGAATTGATTGTTCATAAATTTTCAAAAACTTGACAAAATTCTCCCACAGAAAAAAAAACAAAAAACAATACTTTTTAATAAAATTCCGTCATGGCTGTTTTACATGATTTCGTGTTTGGAAGACCAGAAAATCATCAGGAATAGACGTCAGACTTCATTTTTTCTGAAAAAGAAAATTTTAGTCAATAATTAGTTTGAACTTCGATATTTTTAATTATCATTTTTTTCATTTTGGCAAATTTTTTTTGTAAATTTCAGGCTTTGTACTCGATAATTAATTTTAATAAAGTAGCAAAAAGTAGCTTAAAGATAGAAAAAAGTAGTTCTACCAATTTTTAAGTAGAATAAAAATTCAAAGAGTCAAAATATTTTCCGATCGATTTTATTTAAATTTCTCAAAAATAATTTTGTCGTATATTGAAATTATTTTCTTGTTAGTAGATAAAAATATCGATGTACCTTCCCCTTAATTTTTTGTTAAAATTCAAAATAACCAATTTATTATTAATCAGTAAATTTATTAAAAATTAAAATGTAATTAAGAGCATGGTACCAAAATAAATTACTTCCAACCAATTAACTCAATTAGATCTCCTAATTTGTTTCTGGGGTTTCTGGTTTTGGAGTATACACAGAAAACCTAACCTAAAAATTCCAAATTTGACGACTCGTCATGTAAATAAAGAATATGTTCATAAAATAGATCAAAAAATATTAATCATAAATCTACTACTATTCGGATTAATGAAAACGATCCTATCAATCATCAGTTACCACATATTGCAAAAAAAAAAAAAACAAAGTAGGTCATTTACATAAGTTTCATTTTATCATAAAAGTACATAAAAAAAAATTTCTCACAAACACTTTTCCAGAAAATTTCGAATAATTTTTATACTTAGGTAATAATTTACCTACAAACACTGCCAAAAATCGATTCAATTCTCAAGTAGAAACGTGTGAAAATCACTAATCATACTTGTACTGCTCTATAAATTTGACAACCGGATTTTCTGTCAATGTGGAAAAATCAATTATGAATAGAAAAATTGATCTCTGTATAATAAAAAGGTTTCGCCTTGAAACAAAGGAGCAGAAAATCTCTCCAACAGTGGGAGAATTGAAACTATACCACAAAAACCCGTTATCTCATCTTCAATTATGCAAAAATTGAAAACACTTTGAAATAAATTTCAAAAAATCAAAATCTATGAAATTTACTAAAATTTAATATTATTTGAAGTCTTACCATTAAATAAGTAATAAAAATCAATCAGGAACACCGCAGGGACAACAAAGATTTCAAAAAGGAAAAAGAAAGTAAGGTTATGTCTCACTGCAAAGCCGGAAAATGTTAAAAATTACTCGTGTTTTGAAAATTTTCACGAGGAAATTGACAACTAGAATGACAGTTTCACGGGTAATTGATAAAAGGATCTTTTTCCAGGATCAGACAAAAGGACAGACTCCAAAAGTTTCCGAAAAGTAAATCGTGTACTTAATCGTTCACCGAGTCGTTTTGTGATTCGCGATATTAGCGACAGTTCCATACTCCCATTTTTTTTATATTATAATCCCGATCTCCTGATTTTATCCTTGTGAAAATTGAAATGCAGTGTCCCGCGTTACTCAACGTGTCAGCGTGTCAAAATCTGCACTTGCAACTCTCTATTACCTCTCTTACACGCGCGCGCACACACACATGACAATTGAGAGAGATGAGAGACACATATATATATACATATATATTCACCCCTCACTCTTTCTTGTTGAAACAATGCATTTTGGAAAATTGAAACTGCAGGTGTTGTTTATAGAAGATGAACAACAATTATAATAAATTCGCGATTAAATGATCAGGAAGAAATTAATGCTTACTATTGTCAGGATGTCTGGAAATATAACTTGAATGCCTCTTTGGATATAGCCCCCCGAAAAGTGAGGTAGGGGAATTTCGTTAATTAGAAGTTATCCCCACTTATAAGCGCGTCTACTTTAATCAAATCACTTGTTGGCTGAACGAACAATTCAATTCACACAAATTCACCTGATGTAACATTTCCAAAATTGTGAGACCACGGTATTTCTCAGTCTTGGTCACGGGAAATTTTTGATTTTCCGGCCCTCCTGCGGCATCACTCTCTCGTTGCAGGTTTACCACAAGTAACAAAGATGGCGCTCAATGTCCAACTGAGCACTCGATTTTTATTGGTCGAACGGGCATCCATTATTTCCCCCTCTACTTTTTTTTTTCTTTTTTGGAAAATCTCCATTTTTCCACTTCCAGGATTTTCTTTTTTTGAATTTTTAAAAAAGGAAAAATGTTTAATTTACTCATTGTTTAATTTGTATTTAAAGAATAAATAATATAATAATAAATAAAATAATAAAGTTGTATATCATGAGTACTTTGGCGGGAAATTTAAATTTAAATTTCATGATAGAAATAGTTTTTATTTTCCATAATACAGAATAATGTGAAATGGTAACAATTTTTCTTTAACTAAAATGAATTTTCTTACATTTAACATTTATGATAAGATTAAATGTATTTACACACAGATCTTTGATGTATTTACAGTGTTGAATTGAAATTTTCCGTGCATTTTTAATTCTATTTTTGTGTATTTCTCCCTCTTCTTTAGTCTTTTTCTAATTTTTTAAATTTTAGTCTACAATAAAACGCTACTTTGCTTAAATTATTTTATAAAATTGAAGATACTATTAAAGAGCAATAAAATCTATTCTTCAATGAAGCATTTTATATACTTCATTCAACAATTTTCGTAAATATTTTTCTCTCTACTAAATAAAATCGATTTTTCACTTCTAATAAAGCGAATATTTTCAATTTGTATATAATTTGAGAAATTAAATTTGCTTTGTACTTTTTTTCTTTTGCTTGCCCCTCTAATTTTTTTCTGGAAAATACTTATACTTTTCTCGCTTTCATTGATTTTTTCCCATCAAATTTTTTTAAGTACTTTGATTTTTGATTTTAAACTGATTTTTTAATAAACATTCTCTCAATTTTCAAAAAATACAATACATTTTCATTCTCAAAAAAAAATCGAAACAAAAAAATAAAAATTCTTTTTGAATTAATTAAAGATTCATTATTTTCTCTCGTAGAAAAATGCATTATAGACTATATAAATAATTTAACTACCGATTCATTAGTCTAAATCTAATTTAGTCATTGGTAGACCACTTGTATGAATTTTCGATGTTTTCATTTTCTTTAATGATGTCAAAAGATCATCCATTGTTATAGGACGCACTGCATCGTGATATTCTTCGTCATCCGTATTTGTACCTTGCGTAGTATTCAAATCTCTGAAATATTACAATAAATCATTATTATAATTATTTAATTATTATAGTCATTTAAATATTATTCTAATCATTTAATTATAGTCATTTAAATATTATTATAATTATTTAAATAGTAATAATATTCAAATTTTTAAATAATTTAATAGGGGAATAATTATTTCCAGAAACTAAAAATAAATGACAATAAAAACAAAATGATAATCGTTAGTTAAAATGGTACCAGGCACCAAATACATTATTATTTTATTTTAATTTTTAAAAGTATTTTTTGAAATTGAAAATTAATTCAAGAATGAAATTAGAAATTATATTCTATGAAATTTTGAATGAAAAATAAAATAATTAAATTAAATTGAAATTAAAGATATAATATTAAATTGAATGTTTAAAACAAAATTATAAAAATTACTATTTCATAATTAAATTATAAAAGAAAAAAAACTCCTTACGTGGTGTGATTTCTGAGATAGTCTCGTACACGATAAACTGACGCATTTCTGCAAAGTTCCTGCAAATCTGATCCCGAGAAACCATCCGTTGATTTCGCTAATTTTAAAATATCCAAATCCTCTGCTATCGGTTCGTTATCTAAAATTAAGTGTAATATTTTTTTACGTTGCTGCTCGTCCTGTAAAAAGGAAGAAAAATAAAGATTTTCATTTTTAGTTATTCTTTAATATTTTTTTTTTGTTTTTTTTTTGAGAAAAATAATAACTTACTGGTAATCCAATATGGAAAGTAGCAGGCATACGTCTTAAAATAGCTCTATCTAAATCTTGAGGCCTATTTGTTGCACCCATTATAATAATTGTGCAAGAAGGATCGGTAATTAAACCATCCCATAATGACATAAATTGCGCTTTCATCATTGCAGTAGCCTCATGATCTTGAGAATTACGTGCACGAAGAAATGAATCTATGAAAATAGAATATAATAAGTAAATAATAAAAAATATTAAAATAAATAAAAATATTTAAATAAATAAAATAATCGAAAAAATATATTCACTTAATTGAAAATAATTGAATTCTCGCAAAGAATTGTATTATTTTAGAAAATAATCGAATTCTTCCAATAATGTTATTAACAGTTTTGAAAATTTTAAGTTTCTAAAATAATAGTATTTATTAATAACTATAATTAAGAAATTAAATTTCTTTAAACAATTTCATTAGAGATTTCGTAAATAATTGATTTTTTCTTTTGAAGAATTTTTTTAAATTTCTGCTGAAAAATAATTTTTTAAATAATTTTAATTGAAAATTTGGAAATAATTGAAATGTACAAAGAAATTAATCAAAACTTTGGAGAATAATTGAATTTTTTAGAAAAATTTGATTTCAATTTAGAAGAATAATTTAATTCTTTAGAAAACTTTTATTAAAATTTTTTTAAAATAATTGAATTCTCACAAAGAATTATATTATTTATGAAAATAATCGAATTCCTCTAAAGAATTTTATTTAAATTTTTGAAAATAATGAACAAATAATTTTTATTAAAAATTTTAAAAGTAATAGAAATTTATGAAGAACTGCTTTTGTTTCTAAAATAATCATTATTAATAACTTTTATTAATAATTAAATTAAAATTGTTTATAGAAAATTAAATTATACTAAACAGTTTTATTAAAGTTTTCGTAAATAATTAATTTTTTCTGAAGAATTTCTTTAAATTTCTTAAAAATAATGTAGTTTTTTAAAAAATTTAATTGTAAATTTTGAAAGTAATTGAAATTTACAAAAAATGTTATCAAAACTTTTGAGAATAATTGAATTTCACAGAAAAATTTTATTACAATCTTCAAAAATAATTAAATCCGTTTAAGAAATTCTATTAAAATTGTATCATGAAAATCATTGAATTCCTAGGAAGAATTCTTATTATTTATAAAAATAATTTAATTCTCGCGAAGAATTTTACAATTCATAAAAATAATTAAATTCTATAGAAAAATTTTTAATTTTTTTATAAATAATTGAATTCTTGCGAAAAATTTGACTATTTATAAAAATAAAAATAATAAATTTGAAATTAATTTTGAAAATAATACTTAAACAAGAATAATTATGTACTTAATAAGTGATTTTTTTAAATTTTGTATCTGAAATTATTCAAAAATTGATGTTTATACAACTTATTAAAAAATGTAAAATTATATTTTACTTGATTTCAATAAATAAATTATATTTTGTTATATTTAAATATTTTATAAATAGAAGCAAATATTTAAAAAAATTAAGATTAATATTTTACCAAATTTAAGTATTTACCTATTTCATCGATAAAAATAATACAGGGTTGAATTTTCACAGCAAGTGAGAATACAGCAGACGTTAATTTTTGACTTTCGCCGTACCATTTATCAGTGAGAATGCTGACATCCAAATTTATAAAACGTGTCTTTGCTTCACGAGCTGTTGCTTTTGCTATCATAGTTTTTCCACAACCTGGTGGTCCATGTAATAATACTCCCTATTGAAGAAAAGAAAACATTAAGTTTTTTTCGCATTTTAGTAAAGTAGAAAAAATATATCAATACTAAATTGTCAAAAAAATTAACCTTTGGTGCTTGTGTTAATTGTGAATCTTCGAAAAGTTCTTTTCTTTGGATTGGTAATATCACAGTTTCTTTAAATTCTTGAATAACATTTTCAAGTCCCGCTATACTCTGCCAGGATACTTTAATATCATGTGGATCAACTAAATGACTGGCGATCATCATTTCATAATCAGTTAAATGCTCACTGTCAACAGTGAGAACATTATCCGACTCCGCAAGTCGACGAAGTTGATCTTGTGCCTGTAAAAAGTTTGTTTAACAAAAGTATGGAATACAATAGGCAGCAATGTAATTTTCAAGTTTGGTAAATGTACCAAAAAGTAAAATAAATAAAAATTGTAAAAATGTTGCCATCACCAGTGGAGGTTAGGTTAGGTTTGTGTTTCTTTTTCACGCGTGGTTTTTCTTCGAAATTGATTTTTTACGAAATAATTTTAAACTACCTACCTTCTTTTTAGCCTGTTTTTTAGCTTGTGTAGTGGGATCCAATTGATTCATAATCCATCGCATGCTAAAAAATCCAATTGCCGCAACGATGGAGACCCTCGCGACGATTAATATAACTTCATAACGTGACGCAAATCCTGCCCCATCAGCTAAATTCATTTTTCTTTCAAGTTTTAAATCTTCACCAGTAAATGTCAAATATTTTCAGAAACCAAAAGTTCATTCCTATCTTAAAATTAGAGAAAAATTTACACTTTTTAACCTTCAAATCTGCTTTTATCTCTTTACTTATAATTTTTAGATATCAATGAAGTTAGCAACGAGAGGACCGATTCGATAAGTTTCGAGTCTTTCGAGACTATCGTTACAGTTTGATATTTAAAGATGGTGGATGTAAACAAAAGGAGTTTTTTAAAAACGTCAAAAACTTATTAGTTATTACTTTATTATTATTATTCGGTGATTATGAATTACAAACTAAGTAAAAATAAAGACAGATAGCAAGACAGTAGGATTGGCAATAAAAAATCAAATTTTATTAATTCTAAATATAACACGTGAGAAAGTATAATGGTATACGTCAAAGAAAATTGAGACAAAAATCTCAAATTATATCTCTATTTGATAGAAATTATAAGTAATTGCTATAAATACCACGTCTAATCAATGTGATAATTAATAAGGTTACAATTTTATTTAAAAGCTATAAACAATTTTCAAAAAATTCAAGTAAGTGTAAACTTATCATGAACTTTGAGAAGAATACTATAAACTCTATTATTTCTTTGCTAAAAATTAATTTCATGTTTCAAACTGAAGAAAACTTAATTAAAAGAGAAGTTAAAATTATAATTAATATTAAAATTTATATTAAAATTTAATATTGAAGATTATATTTTTAGAAGTCAATTTTTAAATTGGGTTTTTGTTTCAGTTTTACAATGCGAATGCATTAAATTAAATTTGAATTCAAAAATGAATAAAATGAAAACGTTTACAAAACTCATTAGAGAAGACACAAAGCAATCAGTGCAAAAGGTTAATTAAGTTCATTAAGTTCATAAGAAAGATAAATATAGGTGAGTTTATATTTATACGCATGCACATTTATAAAAAATATAATAGATATAACCTACATTTTTTGACATTCTTTAAAACATTCTCTTCAGTAGAAACGTCAGTCAAGGTCACTGACCTTGTTCATGTTTCTTGATGCTTGAAAAGAAACAGGAATACACAGCTGAAAGACCTAACAGTCTACCATTGACTTCATTCGAAGAATCAAAAAACACTTCTCTGTGAAAATTTTTTTTTCCCCATTCAGTTATAGAGAGTAAATTTGAAAATTGGACCTTCCTTCCTTTTGCTGGATAAAAGAGTGTGTTTTAATCAAGAGTGAAAAATAATTTTAAAAAAATTACAACAATGAGTGACAAAAATTTGGAATTTGTGATGAAAAGTTTACTTGCTGGCGGTAAGTGGTCCATTTGTCCATCAATGAAAAATTTCACGTGTATCGTCTTTATTATATATACAGTTATTTCCGTTTATTAAAGAGTGTCAACTTAACTTTCTAAAATGATTCTCAACATATATTCACTTTCTTTTTTTCGTATTCATTCTTAGAAAACTTATAATTCATATTTTCGAAATTTGCATTTTAGTATTTTTACTATTTTTATTTTTTCACTAGCTTTTTTTATTTTTTTCACGTATTATTTTTTTACTATTTTATATTTTAAATATTTACACGTTTTTCTTTAGTCTTTGATTTTCTACAGTCAAAATACAAAATTTTGAACTAACTTTCCCTTTTAAATTAATAAATATAAAATAAAAATTGTTTTTACTTTTGTTTTTTCTGTATTTTCTATTTTATTCGTGCTTTTAAATTCTTATAAACTAAAAATTCTTGAATTGAGTTTTCTTTTTAATTTAAAAAAGTATAAAATAGAAATTTATTTTAGTTTTGTGTTTTTTATTTTATTCGTGTTCTCTTTTTAATATTAAAAACGTATAAAATAAAAATTAATTTTAGTTTTGTACTTTTTGTTCTTATCTTAGTTTCGTTTTTTGTGTGTTTTTTTTATTTCTTACAGTCAAAATATAAATTTTTGAAGTTTCCATTTTATTTTAAAAACGTATAAAATAAACATGAGAAGATTTTTATTAATCGATATTATATTTACCAGAGTAATATTTGTATTGAGTTTCTAAATTAATTTCTTAATTTTCTTAATACAGGTGTGGCTGGTATGTGTTCGAAAACCACAGTAGCTCCTCTCGATAGGATAAAAATTTTATTACAAGCACACAATTCACATTATAAACATTTAGGTAAGAAATATTCCCTCAGAAATTATTTATTACTGAAACGAACAATAATTTTTTTTTCTAATTACATTTTCTATTTTTGTAATTATAATTTCTATTTTTCTAATTATATAATTTCAATTTATGTACAATTATAATTTTAATGCATTAAGAAATTAATTTCTAAATTTTTTCCTCGCAGGAGTTTTCTCAGGACTGAAGGAAATTATTCATAAGGAAACTTTTATAGCTCTCTACAAAGGAAATCTAGCGCAAATGATTAGAATTTTCCCATATGCAGCCGCGCAATTTACATCATTTGAATTTTATAAAAAGGTGACAGGAGGAAAAATATTTACTTTCTTACGAAATGTTTTTTTTTGTCTCACGCAATTTCGAAATAAATTTTAAAAATTTGTCCAGAAAATTAAAAATATTGAAGTCTAGTGACAAATTTTTTTATAAAACTGAGATTAAAGTAAAATTAGAAAATTAGGTATTTTAATTAAATGAAAATGAAAATATGAATATGAAAATGAAAATGAAAACTTAAATGAAGTATTTTAATTAAATTATTCTTTCAAACAGTATTTAGGAACTCTGTTTGGAAATAAAAGTCAAATTGACAAATTCTTGGCTGGATCTGGAGCAGGAATAACAGCAGTTGCTTTAACTTATCCTCTTGATACAATAAGGGCTCGATTAGCTTTTCAAGTAACTGGCGAGCATGTTTATTCTGGTATTACACATACGGCAGTCACAATTTTCAAAGAGGTAAATTAAAATTTTTTTTCTTACCGAATTTTTCTATTTTTTTCTATTCTTATTTTTTTCTACTTATATTTTTTTTCTATTTTTATTTATTTTATATCAAATGAAGCAATATGTCGAATGAAAATATAATTTGTTTCTTCTTTAAATATCGAAACAATTAGAAATAAAGAATAAAATAATTTTTACAAAAAATAATAAAATAAAGAAACAATGAGAAATAAATGATAAAACAAAGAAATAAATTAAATTAAAATTGAATAAATAAATTAAAAATGAAAATTCACAGGAAGGAGGAGCAAAAGGTCTTTATAGAGGATTTGTACCCACAATTTGCGGAATGATACCCTACGCAGGATTTTCTTTTTACAGTTTCGAACAACTCAAGTATTTATGCATGAAATATGCACCTGATTATTTTTGCGATCAATGTAGCACAAATACTGGTAAGTTTTTTCTACTTTATTAAAAAAAAATACATATGCATAAACAAAAAAAAAAAATGTTAAATATTAAAATATGTAATTGTTTAAATTAAAAGTGAAATAAAATTAACATTTTTATTCAACAGGTGGATTGGTTTTGAAATTGCCGGCAAAATTATTATGCGGTGGGGTTGCAGGTGCAATTGCACAAAGTTTCTCTTATCCATTGGACGTCACTCGTAGACGAATGCAATTGGCGATGATGAATCCGGAAACACACAAATATGGGTATTTTTATTTAGCTAATATAAATAATTCGCACGTTTGTTTCTTTAAATTAAACTTTTATTTAATTTTTAAATTTTTCCTCGTGGAGTATTTTTTCTCTTTTGATATTTATTTAAAGAATAATATTTATTGAAACTTTGGTCTATTGGCCCAGAAGTGGATTTGGTTTACATTATATTTACTTAAATTTACAATAATTATAAATACTCCCTATTTTTTATAATTTATAGTAAATTTTTCCTAAAACTACATATTTTATTTAAGTAATTCGAATAAAATAAGAGTTTTAATTAAATATTAATATATTAATGAATAAAATTCGTTGCAAGAATTCAATTATTTATATAACTAATAAAATTCTTCACTGAAATTCAGTTATTTTTATAAACTTGAATAAAATTCTTGCCACGAATTTTATTACATTTTTTTTAAATAATTGAATTTTTTTTGAGAAATTTTACTACTTGTAAGAATAATTGAATTCTAGCGAAGGATTTTATTAGGATTTTTGTAAATAAATAACTTTGTTTTGAAATTGAATTTAAAAAAAAATTTGAATTTTTTGAAGAATTTTAATTCTTACAGAAAAATAATACTAATTAAAGTACTTTAATTTAGTTTTAATTTATTAATAAAAATAATGAAAATGAATTAATAATGAGAAACAAAAAAATGTTTAGATCCGGAATGTTATCAACGATGAAGATTATCTACCTTGAGAATGGACTGACAAAAGGACTTTATCGAGGAATGTCGATAAATTATCTCCGAGCGATTCCAATGGTTGCTGTGAGTTTCACAACATATGAAGTGATGAAGCAATTGCTTAACTTAGATACAGGAATGAAGCTTTAATTAGCATAACAAAAAAAAATAGACACTTTAAAGAAACCAATTTTTTTTATACAGTAGATTGCAATTTTTTTCCTTTTTTTAAAAGAAATTTTAAAGACCATAGGAAAAGTATTTTCACAACCGTGAAAATGTGTATACTTATTATAAACCTAATGAAATCCAAACACGAGGATTAAAAATTGTTTTTCTTCTCATCAAATTTTTAATAATAATAGTGAAAAAGTTGTCGTTGAAAAATATTTAAATTTAACGAAACGATTTATTTTAAAATACTACATATCAATTTTTATAATCACGAGGCTTTTCAATTTTCTTGATGTAATAACTATTTTTAATTGTTATTTAGTAAATAATAATTAACACTTTTGTACGTCTCTCAGGAAAAAATTATTTAAACTTTAACATTTGTTATAATAATAATTATTAATAATTTTACTATTATTGAATATTTATATTATTAAATATTCAATATATCGAATTTCAGTATACTTTTGAAAATTCGACAGTATTTTAGTTTTAATAATAGTACAAATATTTTAACAACTATTCAAAAATAGTATACAATTATTTAATAATTATTCAATTAATAGTACAATTCTTCAATTAATTATTCGACAATACTCGCAAAGAAAAAGAAAAAAAAAAAATCAGAAAATTAGAAGGGAAAAATTTATTCTTTGAAGAAATTTCTGCAAAATATAAAATTTTCCAAAAATGTTCTAGTGAATATCGATTTAAAAAAAACTATTTTTGCGTTTAGAATAATTAAGTGATAAAAGTTGACTGAAAAAATAATCAAAAAACAGAATTAAAAGAAAAAAGAAACTTGTATCATATAGAATATGAAAAAAAACATGTTTATCATAATTCATAATATATTTTTTTATATATTTATACTTGTGTGTCTCTAAAGGTGTGCGTAAATAATGGGCCAGTTATTAAAATTCAAAAAGATTGTGTAACACGAAACGTGTACCAATTCTGATGTCATCAGATTTTATCTGCGATAAGTCAAAGGTGACAAACGAGTTTTTCTCAAAAAATAAAATCATAGACAGATATTTTTTAAAATATTTTTCTTCAGAATATTGATTTAAGGTATTTTTTTATATTTGTACTTTTTTTTCCATTAGTATTGAACGCTACAAAATTAGTTTGTAGCTACTTCGAAATATTTCAAAAATGTTTACAAAAAGTTAAAAAAAAAAATTAACAAAAATCTTTACTGTTAACGAAGTGTTCACAAAATGTTTACTGTTAACGAAAATTTTACAAAATGTTAACGAAATATTTACGAAATATTTATATAAAAAATTACAAAAAAAAGTATTGAAAAAAAAAAATTTTTTAAGTATAAAAATGGTAATAAGTACTATTGAAATAAAATATTTTCAAGAATTTATTGTATTTTCAATTTTTATTTAAATCGACTAAAAATTAATACATTTTTGTATAATTAAAAATTGATATAAATTTAGAAATTGTATTTGAATAATAATTTTAGGCACAAGACAAAAAAGTTTAAATTAATTTTAAATTCACAATTATCGGGAAAAATTAAACATTTTTAATGCTGAAAGGTGAAAGGGAAATTATTTATATTGGTTTAAAAATGTCTATGCTTTCATAATACGGAGCTGCTTTAATGTAATCAATTGATAATTCTTCTTTGTAATAATTAAGATTTCCATTTTCTTCTTTTGGAATGTAGATAAAAACATTGTAAGTTTTCTTTGGATTCTCATGACTGAAATATGCAAGTGTATTTTTGAATGAACCGTCTATTATTTCTACCATTTGTCCAGGATAATATGGCGCATACTTTCTAGTTTCTGATCCTATAAAATAAAAAGAACATAAAAAAAATTAAAAATTTGCTTAAAAAAATTTTTAAAATCTAATTTAATCTTAAATTAATAATTTAATTTTAAAAAACATTTTTAAATTAAAAATTAGATAAAAATTCCAAAACAAATATAAAATTTAATAGCAATTAAATTAAAAATTGAATTTCTTACAAGGGTAAAAAAATGATTAAAATTTGTTACCTGATATTTCAATCACAAAAATATTAATACAAATAAAAATAGCACTGGCAAAAAATTTGAAATTCATTATTAATTTTGTTTAAACTTTAAAATAATAAAAAACGAATAAATTGTTCCGCTAAGGACGAAGAATACTTGTCGATTAAAATTCAATGGTAACGCTTTGAAAACTCGCTGACAATGTCAGCAATAATTTTGTAAATTCCTATAGTTGAGTTTTTTTAATGACACAGCAAATGATAAATTGGCAAATTTATAATCGAAATATAATTTCATTTAAAAAGAACTAAAAATCAGAATATAAAAAATAATTAGAATTCAAAATAAAATTTAAATATAAATTCAAATAGAATTTTAAAAAAATACTCACCACTTCGTAAAGTGAAAATTTCTTTTTAACTAATCAACATTTTTAATTATTTTGTTCAACATTAATGTTAATGTAACATTCTTGTTTAACAATCTCAATAAATACATAAAAAAAAATTGTTGTGAATAAAAATTAATCAAAGTCCGAGTACAACAGCTTTCTTTTATTTTTTGTTTGTTCCATTTCGGCAAAGTGACAATAATTCTAAGCTCAAAAATCATTTGTGAATTTTTTCTTTTTGTTTTTTTTTTCATCAAAATTGAAAACTGACAAAAAGACGCGAAAATATGTATAAATTAATTAACAAAGTAATTAAATAATAGAACTAAATTAAAAAAATACATTCAGATGTTACAAATTATTTTTAACGATAACAATTTCGTTTAAGAGAATTTATTTTTTTAAGTTCCTTTAGAAAATAATTACCTTGTACATTGAAATATACACATATCGTAATAATAAAAATTATACAGTTTTTACCTACATTGTGTGTGTGTGTGGAGATTTTTTATGAATTAATCAGAAACACGAGAAAATTATCACTCAATATTTTCTTCATATATGACAAAAAAATGTCCTTCGAATGAAAATAATTTGAAAATTAATAAACGCACGTAAGACACATCGTTATAAATTTTCTCTTATTATAAAAATCCGATACTAATTCTTTTGTCAACTTGAATTTTAAAAACACCTGCCAAAGAATGTAAATTTAATATTTTATCAAATTTTATTAAAAAATTAAAAATTAGAAAAATAAACTAATTTAATAAACATTTTTAGATAATATATAAACATTTTTTAAAAAAATTTATTACAAATGCGAACTTAATCAAAAATTTAAAAAGAAGTACAATTCCTTCGGAAATTAAAAATAATTAAACAAATTTTAATACTTTCGAAAAGAAAAAGAATATAATTTCTTTTCAAAAAATCATTTTTTCCCCCCTAAAAAATAAATTTACATTCTCTTGAAAAATTAACAAAGCCGTATTAATTTTTTCTCCACTAAAATTGGAAAAAATTTAATTAAATCGCGTCTATTATCTTACGTGCGCAAATTCCTTTCACAATAAAACTTTACAAATTCTCATATATAAAAAGTTTACACAAAATTAATTTCTCAACACGTAAAATCTGAATTTTACATTCTAAATATATTTATAATTTGCTAAAAAAAAAGATTTAAATGTGCAAAAAAAAAAATTCTCGTGAAATTCATTATTTTGAAAGTGTAAAGTGTCTCTTGAATTATTAATAATAAATAGAGCAAAAATATAAAATTAACTATACAATTTCTAATGACTATTTTTTAAACTATTTTTTCTTCAACTCATTCGATTTTTTTATTTATAATACTCAAACTTTTTTTTCAAAATTTAAACCTCTCATGCATTCCAGTCTGTTTTCTTTTTTGTCATTAGAATTTATATTTTCGTATAAATAAAAAAAAAACAAACAAATTTTTCAAAGTATTGTTTGAATTAAATTACACTTCGAGTCGAGTAAAAAAAAAATGCTCAGTCTGCGTCACTATTGCGTGTATTTGTTTTTCTTATGCCTTTCACGTCCATTTTTTCTTATAATAATAATAATAATCATAATAATAATAATAATAATAATTATAATTATAATAAAGATAAGAAAGCCACCGCTCTAGAAATACTACTTGTAATTATTCATTATGCATATAGTCGATTTGCATGCTTTTTTTTCTTTAAACTTTTGGTCTAAAAAGATAGCCAAACATTTAAGTCCGTGCCTCCTTGTATCAATTTTGACACAAAAGAAATTGGGTTTTGCATTACATATGTTTATTCATCAAAGCTTCACTTATACTTAGCAATTAGTAAAAAGTTGATCAGTATCGTCACGAATCTGTTCTCAAAAATTTAGGTGCGTATTTTTTTTTAACAAAAGTTTGCCATCTAGGATTGATGCAAAAGTGTCTTTTTTTTATTGATAATTTTTAATTATTTATAAATTACTATTTTATATCAGACCATTTCATTAGTTTATAAATATTGTGATTTCATTAATATCAGATTGTTTACAAATTTATTTAATCTTATTTTCTATTTGTTTTTTTTTTGTGGTGAAAATTCGAATATTATTTCATAATAAAAAATGGATAAAAAAATTGCATCACATTTTTGATAAATATAATAGTGAATATCTAGTATTATTTTTTATGACAAGTGGAGAACAAATTTGAATTGTATGTCACACTCTTTAATTTCACTGTTGCATCAACCCATCAATTTTGTTTTATATTTCTTTAATCTTTCTTTCTTTTTTTTCTTTTTTTTTATTATTATTATTTTTCTTTTAAACCTGCACTTACGGAATACGTGCTCCGCTTTTTTTTTGTTTCTTCATACCGCATAATGCGAAACGCTCTTAAATATACAAGATTCCAAATCTCGAATTTTATTTCTCACTGGAGAACCATTCTCGTAAATTGAATGAAAAATGAAAATTTTTCATGGATTTGTGTTTTTAAATGTGTTTGTATGTGTGTGTCTATCTGCGATCGAATTACAAGCATTACACTGAAAACATTATTAAGACTCAAGTTCTGTGGTTTTGTGTGTGTGTGTGTGTGTGAAATTTATTTTAGTGAAACGATTGTATTATTTTTTTCGGTTGGCGTAAATATCTTGTTGAGTCTCTACATGGTATTGGATTTTTTTTTGTTAACGTATTGCACGCGAAAAAATGTTTAGCGAACAATTTTTGTTTGTAAATGCTCCCTTTTGACAATTGATGAGAGGACGCACCTTTTTCGCGAGCCATCATATAATACTTGGTGACTATATTTATATATATATATATATTTATTTATATATGACGAGCAAGACTCAAGAAGAGTCCTTACACTCATCCCGATGTTCTTTTTTTTTATTCTTGTGTCTTAATTGTTTCCGTATTATCGCTATAAAATCAGATTTGTTTTCCATCTCCTACCTCAAAAATTATCGACTGATTTCTCTGACCACTTTACATGAAGTAATCGGGCGTCCTTCTCGTGACGTGTGGCTCACCACGTCTTGGTGCTGGATCAAACTGCAAGCTGTTGAAAAATAATTTTCTTTTAGTTCTTTCAATATTAAATTTCTTCATTTATCTACTTTTCTTATCTTTCGCAGAAAATAATTCAATGAAATTTCAATTTTTTCGCTAGGAACATTTTTTTCTATTCATTCTATTCGAAATAGAGAATTTATTATATAGAATGAATTTGAAATTCATTCTTATAACGAAAAATAGAATTTATTATATAGAATGAATTCGAAATTCATTCTATGACAAAAATAGAACATGTTTTTATTTTCTTTTCAAAATGATCTAATTTCTAGAAAAAGGAAGAAAAAGAATTCAACTTACAATGAATATTTCAATGCATCATCAAGTTCCATAATTGCAGCTTGATTGCCACAGCGATAACAATAATTCGGAGCGGAGAAAATTGTCACAACGTTTCGATCGTGACACCTTAAAAGAGAAAAAAAAGAAGAGGATTAAATTAAAATTAAAAGAATTCGAAAATGTTAAAGTGTTTAATTATTTATTAAATACGTACCAATTATAACCCTCCATAACCAATTGATGCGCTCGTGAAACAAGGGTCAAGCCGTTCGAATGATTAAACGTTTCGGAAATATCCTGACCAAAGGTGTAACCCGCTCCACGAGGAGAGATGCCCCATCCTCCTCTGTCATCGGGATCTGACCACAATAGATCACACATTGGACCCTGTAAATAAATCAAAATTATTAGCAAAATTCTTTTATTTTCTTCATTTTCTATTTTTCTATTTTTTTATTTTCTCCTACAGGGTTGCCACAAATATTTAATTTTATTTTTCCCTGACTTTTCCCTGATTTCCAGACAAAATTTTCACTTTTTCCTTGACCCTAAATAATATTCTGATTCACTCTAAAAATTATTAGATACTCAAAAAAAAATTTCTAATACTTTTACATATTTGCAAATTTCTTGAAAAGTAAAATTATTCGAAAACATCAATAACTTCTTCTTTAAATAAATATTTAATCATTATTATTTTTCTGTAGGAATTAAAATTCTTTAAAACATTCAAATTGAAACCGTTTTGAAATTCAACAACTTATAAGAATATTATTACAAAACATGATGTGTTTTTCTTCTTCATGTTTTGTAATAATTTAAATTGCCATAAAATTTTTCAAAAAAAAGTTAATTATTTACAAAAATTCTAATAAAATCCTTCGCTAGAATTCAATTATTTTTACAAGTAGTAAACTTTCTCAAAAAAAAAATTCAATTATTTAAAAAAAAAATGTAATAAAATTCGTTGCAAGAATTCAATTATTTTCATAAATAATAAATCGATTATTCGGTAATTCATTTTTAAATCAATTTTTATTAAAAAAATTCTAGAAGAATTCAATTATTTAAATTAAAAAATAAATAATTTATTGAATAATTGAATGTTTGTTAAAATTGAATTGTCATAAAGAATTTTATCAACAAATTTTTAAATAATTGAATTCTTTTGACAAATTTAAAAAAAATTTTTAAGAATAATTACATTTTTCCGAGGAATTTGATTAAAATATTGTATCAAAAATAATTAAAATCCTGCGATGAGTTTTATTATCTATGAAAATAATTAAAATTTTCCCAAGAATTTTATTAAAAATTTTTCTAAAATAATTGAATTTCGGAGAAGAATTTTATTATTTATAAATTATAAAGATACTTAAAATTTTGACAAGAATTTTTTTTTACATTTTGAACATAATTGAATTTCTGTGAGGAATTTTATTACTTTTGAAAATAATTTAATTCTTCAACCGAATTTTATTCAAGTTTATAAAAATAACTGAATTTCTGTGAAGAATTTTATTATTTATTTTTATATAAATAATTGAATTCTTGCAACGAATTTTTGATTGGTCTTCTTTTTGTTTCAATTTTTTGAATTATTGTAATAAATATTAATATTCACCTCGTGAGGAACTTCTTGAAGACGATCTAATGCACGAATGTGATCCAGAGTGTCGATCGAGGGCGAAAGACCACCGTGTAAGCAGAAGATTTGTCCATCTACCAAGGCCGTTAATGGCAGATAATCAAAAAGATCCGTGAAGAATTTCCACACATTAGCATTTCCATACTTTCGCAAACATTCATCATAAAAACCGTAAACTTGTGTGATTTGTCTCGACTCATGATTCCCACGTAAAATCGTTATTCTCTCGCGATACCTCACCTACATTCAAACAAGAGAAAAACAAATCAATAAACACACACTCCCGAAAACGAAAGTTCAAAAACAAATTAATTTATATTGTTTTTCGTTTTTAATGAAGAATAGAAAATAAACGAAATCTACAAAATAAATAGAATTCGAAATGAATAAAATACGAAATTAATAAAATAAAAAATTAATAAAAATACAAAATACCTATATAAACTACGAAATAAATAATATAAAAAATTAATAAAAATACCAATGAAATAAAATACCAAACGAATAAAATAGGAAATAAATAAAATACAAAATGGATAAAATAGAAAACAAAAAATACAAAATAAATAAAATACAAAACGAATAAAAATACTGAATAAATAAAATACAAAACAATTAAAATACAAAATAAATAAAACACAAAACCAATAAAATACAATAAAAAAAAATAAAATACAAAATAAATAAAATATAAAACAAATAACATGCAATGTAAAATAAATAAACAGAATACAAGACAAATAACTGGAATTAAAGCATAAATAAAAAATAAATACCAACATTATAAAAACTAATTCGAAAAGTAATTATTCCAGATTAAAAATAACCCTCTAGCAGAAAATTTGTTAATAAAAAATAAATAAAAGAATATCAATTCAATGAATTCAAAGTTGAAATTCGTAATTTAAAATCCAAATATTTGAAAATATTAATTTTTGAAAGTGAAATTGTTTACATACACTTGATTAATAAAATGTTGTTTACCTTAAGTGCTACAAGAAGTGTAACGGTTTCAACCGAATAATAACCACGATCTACATAATCTCCCATAAATAAATAATTTGTGTCAGGAGATTTGCCACCTATTCGAAAGAGTTCCATTAAATCGTGAAACTGCCCGTGAACATCTCCGCACACTGTTACTGGACATTTCACTTCCTGTACGTTCGATTCCTTGGCTAAAATTTCTTTTGCCTGGAAAAAAAATGAAATTTCATAATTAAATTAAAATCACAAAATTTTTTATAAACTTATCTAAATTTAATTAATTTCAATTATTAAATTATTACTTCCGAATTATTCTGAAGACATAAAAATCAAATAATTTTTAAATCTTACTGTAAGAAAAAACAATTTTTACTTTATAAATTTTATTATAATTTTTTAAAGATTAAAATAAAGGAAACATTTATTTCTTCTTGAAATTAAATTTTTATTAAAATTAATCTACGTCAGTATTAAAAAACATTTAATTGCAAAGTTTTTAAATGTAAATTTTAATGTTTTCTTTATTTTATATTTAATTATTGCAATCAATAATTTATGACAATAATTTTAATAACAAATAATTCGTTCATTTGAACCTGCAAAACTTGTAGATAATTTTTAATTAACAATCGAATCTAAACGTTTCTTTTTTTTTTTTAACTAGAAAAAAACTATAAAATCTTGAAAATTAAATGTAAAATTGTTAATTACATTACTTTGAAATATTAAATTTAAATCGTTTAAAATTGTCATTTAAATAAAGATTAACTTAGCAAGAAATAATTAAGAAAGTAATTAGAAATTTCTTAAATTATAGGTTATATTGCAAAAATCGTTCCCAATTGTAAAAAAAATCAGTTTTTATTGAAATAACAAAATCTGTTGAAAATATGCAAAATTATAAATTGTTTACTATCCTAATCAAAAACATTTTAAATCTAAACTATTTTTTATTCGAATATGAAGATTATTTCTTGTCAAGTGAATTAATTTTTCCCCTTATTTGTAATTTTACAAAAATTTATTTATAATTTCGGCAAAATTGCTCCTTTTAAATGATTGAGAAAAAATAATAAAAATCTGTCGGGAATTGTTAAAATAAATATTAAAAATGAATAAACATTAAAAACAATAAGAATTTTAAGAAATGAAATACGATTTTCCTCTCAATGAAATGATACAAAAATGCCAATTAAGTATTAAATACCTAATTAAAAATTGCCTTAAAAATAAAAATGAACAATTTTTTCCTTATTCCCAACTGAATGGAATACTTTTTCAACATAAAAAATACACTTTAGAAGAAAATTATTATTTTCGTGCTAATAATGGATAAATCGAAAATATTCCTCATTACACTTTGAGAATTGATTTGAGAAAAAAAATTTTTTTTTTAGCTATATTCCAATAATAACGTGTGTGTGGCTCAAGTGCGGTGATGCTTTTAGGGGAACGGCTAAAATTCATCATCAGTCGATCGTTAACAATCGTGAGACAAGTACCTGTTGAAGTTTCAATTTGCAAAATGGAAAACACCCACTAAACATGAGACGGACAATGAAATTTTTTTTGGAATTGAAAAATTTAATGAAAATATACCTTGTCACAGAGGGTTTTCACTTGGCTTTCTGTCAGTTGTTTGCAGTCATTCAACTGTTCTATCCACTGGTCAAGTTCTTTGAGGGATGCTTTTTCCTCCATCGTATGGATCTGTAAATATTAGCTAATATAATTTTACACTAAGCACATGTAATTTCGGTACTTTTATTTGGGAGCTAACGATTTTAAATTAAAATCATTCGATTTTTGCTCCGGCAGTCCCTCAACACAAATATCCCAATTGAGAATACACTCACAAAATGGCCGCTCGCTGCCGTTTGTGACGTCATGCTTTATTAAATACGCGTGCGCAAACAAAAAAAAACCTAGTGAAAAAATCCGGAGATAGTTAAATTTTGTTGTTGTTGAAAACGTTGACAAATTTTAATTATTTATATTGTTATTAATTTGTCGGGAAAAAAATACTAATGTACGTTAGGCAATTCAACTATTTCTTCTGTTTACAGACTAGAAATTGTTTATTTTACCGGCTAGTTCCTTTTTTTCTAGGGTACTAGATTTTACAGTTTTTGATTGGCGGGCGAGAAATTGCCAACCAATAGAAGGTGAGTGTTTTGATTTTGTTTTGTAAACTTGAATTTTTAGGTTAATTTATGAGTCACTTGTTGTTGACGTTGTTGACGACATAAGTTTTTCTAAATTAAGGAAAAAAGAAATGAAAAATTCAAAATACTACCACTGGTACTACTAGTATTGTAAATTTACAGAATTGTTTACTTACAGATTTGAGTTTTGTGTACGATTACACTAATTTTATTGATTTGAAAGAGAAACTAAAGTTTGTCATTTGAATGAAAATAAACATTGCGATGTTTCGATGCTTTTCAAAAAGTGAAGAGCGCAGGGGGTAAAGTAACAAATACGTCTTTTAATTTAATATGGAAGTTTATTTTACAACATTCATATAATTAAATAATGTCTTAATTAGAATATTAATACTTTTTAATATTTGTTTTTTTAAAAAATATAGCAAGCACTAAACGTAGCTTATTTTCTTATTATAAATTTCACATTAAAAAAGGAGTAAAACTGTGACCGTATTGAAAAAGTTCTTACAAAGATTCAGTTCTTAATTTATGAATAATAAAAATATTAAAATGACAGAAATATATTGAGCTTTTGAACTATATTTCTACAATAGGTATAAATTTTTTCACAGTAAAATTGAATATTTTTTTATGGTTAAAAATTGAAATATGAGTTACTTGTTGGTTTTTTTTGCGAAGGAAAACACTTAACATCGGATGAATTCTGTCCATTCAATATTTTTACGAAAGTGTTCTTAATGTAAGAACATTAATCCTGAAATTAAAAGTATTTATAATAAAAATTAACGTTTAAAAAAATCCATTTTATAATGGAAAATTAATTATTTTTTAAGTAAACTTTAAAAGGAACGTACTTTGAAATTTCTGTTTAACTGTTAGATTGTTGATTAATTCATCTGCACAAAGTTGCATCCAGTTGCGATAACCAGGGTAAAATTAATTTAATTTTCCTTCGATAATTCGAATCCTTTGCAATCGGATTATTCTCCAAATAAACCGTTTGCAATAATTTGTTACTGGCCAAATTCTCCACCGTTGGCCAATCTTCTATTAAATTATTGTTCGCCTAGAATTTTCGAAAAATAAATTTAAATAGAAAAAATTATAATTATAAAGAATATTATTGTTACTATTATTATTATCATTATTACTATTATTCAATTATTTTCGTAAATAATAAAATTATTGACAGGAATTAATTATTATTTATAGAAAAATTTGAAAAATTACCCAAAATTCTTCCAGGACATTGAGATGATCAATATTTTGAATCTTCTTGATTTTATTATTTGCTAAATCCAATGTCAACAATTTTGGACAATTGTCAAGACCTTCGATTAAAGTGATTCCATTTTCCGATAAATAGAGTTGATCCAAATTTTTCAGTTCGGCTAAATTTTCTATTTGCGTAATTCGATTACTCTGTAGACTTAATAATTGAAGATTAACGAGTGTGTCGAGTTTTTGGATTTTACTGATTTTATTTTTACCCAAATAGAGATTGACAAGATTCTCCAAACCTTCTAAATTCTCAATTTCACGTATTTTATTATCACCTAATTCTAAGGTCGTCAAATTCTTCAAGTGAGAAATATTTTCAATCTGTGATATTTTATTCGAGGAGAGGAATAATTTATTTAAATTCAGCAAATTATCGAGACCCTCGATTTTTTTGATGCGATTGAAAGATAAGTCGAGAACTCTAAAATAAACACGAGATATAAAATTGTTTACTTATAGATTCTAACAATAAAATTGTTTACTTTCTAACAATAAAATTTGTAGTTTCAAATAAAAAATAAATTTACTTTTTAACAATAAAATTTTTTACATTCTAACAATAAAATGATACTTACTGCAAATTGACTAAAGCGGACAAATTCTCCAAAACTGTTATTTGATTATCACGTAATTCCAATTCTTGAAGTGTAACGAGAGTATTGAGATTTTCTATTTTCGTTATCAGATTCCATGTGAAGCATAGTTTTTTAATTTTCGTCAAAGGCTCCAAATTCTCCAATTTTGTCACTCGCGAATGATTGAAATCCAATTCCTGTATTTATTATTTAGTTTTGTTATAATTTTGTATAAGAACAAATTAATTTTATACAATTCTAGGCTTTTATTAAAAAAAAATGTACAAACTTCAGTGTCTGGATCTATAATGGTGATTTTGTCAGAATCATCTATGGCTTCGTTTTCTTTTTCGCCTTGAATCTCCACCGTTTCCATTCCATTTTTATCACATATTTCTATGAAAAATGAATTGATAATTATCTCTATCTAAAAACTGTATTGTTTTTTTTAAAAAAAACATATCACCTACCAACGCTCGCCATTTTGCCCTTTAAAATTCCAAACTGTACGAAAAGTGTTTTGCACAATTTTTGGAATTATTCACTGTTTGCCTTTGTTACACAAATATAAAACAAATACTTTTGTTGTAAAGAAAATTTGCAACTGTGAATGGTATGGTAAATTACTACTTTTCCGTAGTTTACTTCATTTACTTTATTTACTTACCCAACGCTGAGTGTTTACATGTGACGTGTTGTGAACAAACCTTTAAGTCTTCATAAAAACTGGACAGCAACGCCCAATGAAAGAAATTGGACAAGTTAATGGACAATTTTCTTGTCCACTTTTCAATGATTGGCTGGTTATTATTAGTCAACAAATCAAAATTCAATACAAATTTGATTAACCAATAATAGCTGGAGGAGAAAATGCTTTATCAAATTGGAAACTTGCTAGGATCGATTCTTTTGTTTTTCCAGAAGTTCTAGAGAAGAGAATCCGTGAGTTGCAATTGCGTATTGCGTTATTTTTGATTATACGCAACATACACTAATTTCACAAAAGTTATTAAGTTACAGAAAATATCGATAGTGAAAGAATTTATTGGTTTTTTTTATGATTGTTTATGGATTTTGTGCGATTATGATGATAATAACCTCGGGAATTTTCAATTAAAAGTTTTCCGTTTAAATTCACAACAGTAAAATGGAGTCTGATGTGATTTGTATATCATCAGAAGATGAGAAAAGTGAACCACGACGAAAGGTTTTGAACTTTCTATATATATATCTCATAATTATTTCGAATTGCCGCTCTAACCTTAAAATTTCTTTCTTTATAATCTTTATAATTATATTATTTTAGTAAATGATGATAATTTTATTAGATGTTTACAAGTATTTTTGTGAAAGAGTTTAAACTTGTTTAAACTCGATTTTTGAAATCAAAGAAAAGGAAAATTTTGTTCAACTGTTTTTTTTAAATTGTAAATACTAATAACAGTTAAATTCTATTTTTTTATAATACTTGGTTTTTAGCAGAATTTTCGAACATTTTCGAACAAAAACAAACTTTTCGAGAGAAGTTAGCTTCAGATTGTGTTGAAACAAAAAATTTTAACATTCATTTTTATATTTGAACGAATATTAATTTTTACAGGTTACTAAGGAGAAAATAGAGAATATTTCTCCGATTAACAAAGTAAATAAAATTACCAATGGAATATCGAGTAATGGAGTAAATAAGGTATTTGCATTTATTATTTTTATTTTAAATTGCCTTTCTACTTTCATTCTTTACTTTATCAGGGTTGCGACAAAAATTTAACTTTATTTTTCACTTATTTCCAGACAGAATTTTGTCCTTTTTCCTGACCCTAAAGAATATTCTGATTTAATCTAAAACTTATTAGATATTCAAAAAAATGTTGTATTAAATTTATTTACAAATTTTATTAAATTTATTTACAAATTTCTTCAAAATTAAAAAAAAATTATTTTCTACAATTGAATACAATTGAATTTCTGTGAAGAATTTTGTTGTTTATCAAGATAATTGAATTCTTTTGCAGAATTGCTTAAAAAATTTTTGAAATAATTGATTTTTTGCGACGAATTGGATGTTATTTATGAAAATATTTGAATTATTACGACGAATTTTATTATTTCATTAAATAATTGAATGTTTCTTAAAATTGAATTCTTTCCCCAAGTTTTAATGAAATTTTGAAGAATAATTGCATTTTTCAAGGAATTTATTTAAAATTGTAAAATAAAATAAATTTATTTAATTAATTTGTAAATAAAACCTCTGGCAACCCTGTTTATTTTATTTTATTGTATAGTATAAAATTTAATGTTTCTAATTATTTTTTCCATTATAGATATACACCATTAAAAGTGCTGGTAATTTAACCAAAGACAAAGTGAATCAAATATTGAAAACCAATGGTGTTTTGCAAGCTGCCAAGGAAACAAAAGTCGTAGATAAAAATACAGAGGCAAAAATGAATGTTCCTATAGTTCAAAGTCCAATTTTTAAAACCGGCGAGGTTTCAATAATAAAAAGAAAAATTAATGATGATTCGGACACATCAACACCAACAGTAAAACGAATAAAATTAACAACTCTTTCTACCACGACAACAATAAAAAGAACCTCATCAGATGAAAAAATAACTAACGATATTAAAATAAATGCCGAAAATAAATCCAATGACAATAAGAAACTAGAAAATGAAAATACTTCCAAAACAACCGAAAGAGAAGCATCGCCAACTCCCGGATGTTCCTGGTTTCCTGAAGTGCAAAAACCACAATTGATAATAAAGGAAAAAAAATCACTGTACGACGATGAATTCGATTTATTTACAACATTTCTAGAAACTTGTCTGAAAAAAGACAGTACAGAGGATATGAAAAAAATTATCAAAAAACTAAAAAATCGTCACGAGCGTCTAAATCCTTCATTCCTAAATGGTCCAGTATTCAAACAATTACTTATTGATAAGCAAAAAGTAATTGATCTCAATGACGATAAATTGTACAGTCACATAACGGAAGTTAACGACGAAATGAAAAATGCTGAGAAAAATAATGTTTTAGAGGAACGTAAAAATGTGAAAGAGGAGAAAATTATTATCAATAATAATGAACATGAAGATAAAGATGAAGAAGATTCACACGAGGAAAAACGAAAGAGAAGAAAGGCACGTGAAATACTGAGTCGTATAGAGTCAGTTAAGAAGAGAATAAAACAACTGGAGATGCAGGAAGTTGAATTTAGCGATGAATCAGAAAGTACTTATTTAGTCGAGGATCGTTATAAGAAAAAATTGATGCAACTTTGGAGTGCTTATTGCAAATATACGGGAAAAGCAGTGGATGCGGGACGCACTTATTTACGACCAAGAGATATTTCAGCGACACAAATTCAAAAAGTCGATCAAGCAATAATGAATTTTATTAATTCGAAAATTAGTCGACGTAATGAACTTATGAAGAAGGGAAAGTCAATTAGGGACACTATTATTTTTCCTGATTATGTCGATATTTTGAATTGCATTTCACAATGTAATGAGAAACAAAATTTGAGATTGACTCGAAGTGAGCAGGAAACGAAAGGTAAAATATTTTTTCTTTTTTACATTATCAGGCTTCGCACTCATCTACTAATTTGCTACAATTTGGATACTTTTTTTTTAGATTTCTGATACCAAAAGATTTCTTTTTCCTTTTGAGAATTTTCGCTAATTGTTGAAATAAAATATTTATTTTCAAAAATTTCAATAAAGAAACAATTAGAAAAAATCTAGAAGCAATTGTAAAAATTTTAAATAGAATTCTTTGAGATAATTCAAATTATTTTCAAAACATTTTAAGACATTTTTTTTTGTCAAGAATTGAATTATTTTCAGAAATAATGAAATTGTTCGCTGATATTCAATAATTTTGAATATCTAGTACCATTTTAAAAGAATTTAATTATTTTAAAAAAAAAATATTAAAAATCCTCGGCAAAGATTCAATTAATATCATAGGTAATAAAATTATTCGTAGGAATTCAATTATTTTTCAAATACAATTTTAATTAATTTACTCGGAAATAATTTAATAGATCCTTTAAATTTAAATAAAATACTTGAAAAAAAATTTAATAATTTTCGAAAATTTCAATAAAATTCTTTATAAAAATTCAATTATTTTCCAAAACTGATAAAGTTTATTATTTTTAAAACAATTTTATTTAATTTTTTCGAAATAATTCAATTATTCTTTTAAATTAAAATAAAATGCTTGAAAACAATTGAATTATTCCCAAAAATTTTAATCAATTATTTTTACAAATAAAATTCTTCATATGAATTCAATTATTTCAATAAATAAAAAAGAATTATTCGCAGGAATTTAATTATTTTGGAAAATGTTATTAATATTCTTGGCAAGAATTCAATTATTTTTATAAATAAATAATAAAATCCATCACAAGAATTCAATTATTTTTCATATGTCAATAAAATTTTTTTTAAAAATTCAATTATTTGTTTATAAGAATTTAATTATTCTTTTAAATTGAAATAAAATGCTTGAAAACCATTAAATTATTCTTGAAAAATTGTAATCAATTATTTTTACAAATTATTTTAATAAATAAAAAAATTATTCGCAGAAATTTAATTATTTTCAAATCAATTTTCATTAAATTCCTCTTAAAAGTTTTAATAAAATTCTTTCGTGAGAATTCAATTATTTTCATAAATAATAAATTTCTTCGCAGGATTTTAACTATTTTTAATAAATTTTTTATTGTTAAATGCAATTTTTTTTTAAATCTTCAAAAAATGTAATTATTTAACAAATTTTTAATTCTTGTGGAAAATAAATGATAATATCTTTTAATTCCGTTTACTACTTTAATAAATAAATTAGAAATATTTATTTAACAAAAATTCTTCTAGTATGAATAATTTAATTTATAGAAGTTATGAAAAAGAAAAATTAGTCTTTTGAATAATTGTAATTAAAATTTCTTTTGTGAAGTTAGTTAAATTCTCGTAAAAAAAATTATTGAGTGCGAAGCCTGCATTAGGAAAATTTTCATTATGAATTTATAATGTTCCCAAAGTTTCAAACGTTCAAATAAACGACGATATTTTTTTTACAGAAAATATATTTTCTATATTTTCGATTTTTTTTATAAAGAAAACTAAATAAAATAAATAGTTAACGAAAATATGTGTTTTCAGCGAAAGAAGCATTCGAGAAGATTGGCGTGTATTTGCAAAGATGTCGTCAAAGAGACTATTGGGATACGTTTTCAATTTTCTTGGATGAAGAAGATGACGATCCTTCATTAAAAGATCCAGAATTATTGGAAAAATTGAATCAAAATGAAGCTTTAGGAAATCGAAAAATGGAAAATCTTTTCGAAGAATTTGCCGCTAAACAAAATAATATAGGCGATCAGAAAAATGCAAACGATAGTGAAAGTGAATCGGTAGATTCAAATGACGATGAAGATGACAAAGAAAATCCTGATGATTCGGCTAAAAAAGATGATCAAGCCGAAACAGAAATCGATGACGACAGCAGTAAAGAAGAAAATGAGAACAATAGTTCAAATAAGGAGAATGCGGGAAAAGAAGATTCAGATAAAAATTCGAATAAATCGAATAATGAAAAAAAAATTATCGAGGAAAATAAAACTAATGAAGAAATATTAACCAACGAATCAACAATGAGTGCAGACGAAATAAATTCCAATCAATCATTAACTGGAAACAAAAGTATTTCTAAAAGTAGTTTATCAGAAGGTTTGTATTTGTGTCAAATTTAAAGCAGTTGTAATTCTTTTTTTTTTAATGAAAATGACGAAAATGATTAATGAAATTAATGCACGAAAAAATACAATAAAGTGAATTTTGAAACAAAACAAAATATGATTTGATTTTTCTTTTAAAAGATAATTTTCTTTTAGTTAAAGAAACTGATGCCGATGTAATTGACATCGATGACGAGTCAAATGTGGACAAGCAACCACTAGTTCGTCTACGTTCATTTGCCAAACCCCCAACATCCTGGAAAGATTCCCAAGGCGATGGTTCAACATTGTTGAAAAAATATGTCACTATAACCGAAAAATTATCACCCACAACAACTCCAATTATAAGAAAATTCGTCACATCAACACCAAAGGCATGTACAATTCTAAAAGCATCGTCGTCGTCCTCATCATCAGCATCTCCAGCACTTGTCGATTTAACATCAGAGAAAAAAGACGAATCAAAATTATCAACAACAATCAATAAATCCAAAACCGTTATGCTGCCATCGAATTTCAAGGGAAAGCAAATAATTAGTGTTAAAAATATAACAAATAATTATAATGTGCGCGTTAATCAAGTGCCGGAAAAAATAATACCAATGAAAGTTATACCGAAAACAGTGAATTCCAATCAAATTGTCGGCAACAAACAAATAATCTATCATTCGAATGGTAATGGAAAAATTTTAAATCCATTGGGTAAAATTGTTCGATTGAAAATCCCACAGAATTCCGATACAAAAGTGATGAAAGTCCTGAATTTAAATGAAGCGACGCAAAAGGTGTCAATGGTAATACCAATGAAACCAATTGTACAAAAACCACGAGTGACACAAAAACATCCAATAAATTCCAATTCAAATCAAGTGAATGAACAAGCAAGTAAAATATCGAGGTACGATCATCAGTATTCGAAAAAAATTGTTAACAATATCGTTCGAATTATAAAACCCACGGATCAATTAGATAAAGTGGTGACATTAAAAAAAACTTGACTTATCGGAAAATTGTGTTTTGTTTAAAGGAAAAATTGTTGAAAAAAAAAATTGCGCACAATTTAGTGATATTTTATATATACATATATATATATACAAATTATTTGAACAAAAAAAGAAAAGAAAACGAAAATCAGAGACTAGAAAAAATATTTAGTTAGTGAAGGTACGATTTTTAATTAAAGTTCAAACGGTTTAGTAATTAAAACATTTATTTCGAATTTTGAAAAATAATTAATTAAATTCTTTTTGAATAAAAGAAAAAATTGTTTCTCATTATCACTGCGATTTGAAGTGTTGGAGAATTAATTTTGTAAGTCGAAAGTCACAGTGCACGAGATTTTCGACAATGTCAAAGTGATCGATATTGTTTCGTAGCAAAAGAAATTCCACTTGGTCGACGAATTTTAACAGTTTCTAGAAAGAAAAATATTAATTAATTAATAATATTAATGAATAAATACAGACGAATCTCAAGAGTTTCTAGAGAGAGAAAAATTATAATTTAGAAATTAGTAATTAATAATTAATTATATTAATTATTAATTAATTAATAATAATTAATATTAATGAATAAATATTACAGACTATTTTCAAGAGTTTCAAGACAGAAAAAAAATTATAATTTAGAAATTAGTAATTAATAATTACATTAATTACTATCAATAATTACAAATTGATATTTATTAATATTCATTAATATTGAATAATAATTAATATTAATTATTATTAATATCAATCATATATGAAAACATTTCAATTAAACAGATGTTTAAATTCTATTTACATTTTTGTGATAGTAAAAATTACAGGTATTATTATATAATATAAATTTTTTTTTGCTGATAGTTTTCTATCGTAATTAAAAAAAGAGTATAAAAATCGCACGAATATTTGAATGAAAAGGAATATTTTTTTACAAATTGGAAATATATTATAGTGCATTAAAATTAATTTTGACAAATAACTAAACTTTTCTTTATAATATTTTATAATAGAAAATAATTTCTATAGTAATTTGTTAATTTTTTACCTGCGAATAACGTTTTGATTCTTCAATAAATATCGGAGAGTCGCATTCTCCAACGGTGACGATTACTTTTAAATCTTCAATAATTGATTCCTTTAATGAATCATTTTTTTCGATTGGAGCGAAACTGTACAATTTTATTTCTTCTCTGAAAATAATTTTTCTTTATTATTAATTGTATTTGTAATTATTAATTATTAATTATAAAGATTAATTATAATATATTAATCGTAATAATTAATTATAATAATTAATTATAATAATTAATTATAATGATGAATTATAATAATTAATTATAATGATTAATTATAATAATTATAATTGTTAATTATTTATATAATTACGATTTATTTTATTTTTCCATTGAAATACTTACGGAGTTAATTGTAATGCGTCATTCATACTCGTCGTCAATAAGGGCTTTAAATCATAAACACCGGCGATTAAAATTAATCCTTTCAATAAATTACGATAGCCCTTTTCAGTCATTGAATTCAGCCAATTATTGTCGTGCAAAACACTTGCTGCCAAATGCGCTCCTGCACTGTGACCCGCTATCAAAATTTTTCTGGAGAAAAATTTAATTTTATGTACAAAAAATTTATTCATTAAATTCAAAATATTTATTTTCATATATATAAATAAATAAATATATATACATATATATAAATATCGCATAGTTGTAATTTGTAAAATAGTTTTTTTTATTTTAATTTTCAATGAGAGAAAAAAATTGCAAAAAAAAACTATAATTTAATTATGTTAATTATTTATATGGTTTAATTAATATGGAAAATTATATATTTTAATTACAAATATTATTTGTTAGTTAATTACAAATATTATTTGTTAGATAAAATACAAGATATTATTTTTCAGATAATTACAAATATTATTTGTCAGATAATTGCAAAATATTATTTGTCAGATAATTACAAAATATTATTTGTTAGATAATTACAAAGAAAAATAGACTTAATCTATAATTATAGATAAATAATAATTATGGAAATAAGTTTAATGTTTTGTATACCGAGATCCAGAATTGTGTGCATCTCTTAGAATTTTCTCCAAAAAAATTTTTATCTCTGACACAATTTCGGTTAATGAAACTGAAAAAGAAAAAAAAAATATAAAGACAAGTATACGATTATTTTTTAAAAAAATATCGTCTACTTTAGAATTAATAATTTAACGAAAAGAAATAAAAAAATTAAAAATTAAGGAAAAGTTTATATGTATTATACTTTATTAAGGAAGAACATTATTTTATTATAATAAATATCCATTGTAATTATAAATATAAAATATAGACCGAGAGGGAAGTCCTTCTTTTTAAAAGAATTATTGAATTTGTTTATTCATCAACCTACTTATTCGTCATTTTTAAAAGTTAATAAATAATTTAATTTAATATTTTAATAAATAAATATTTATTTAAACATTTTAATAATAAAAATTTATTTATTAAATTTATTTTTTGAATTTATTTTTCGAATTTATTTTTATATGTCTTTCTTAAATTAATTTTTTATTTATTTACCGTTCGGACACAAATCATAGCCACAAATGATTACTTTAATCCCTTGGGATACCAATGAAGACGCTGGGAATGCAGATAAATCTTTTGTGAATTCCTGCCAGTAGCCGCCGTGAATAAATATAAAAATTGGAGCATCTTGAAAAGAGATAAATTGGAAAATGAAAATTATAAATAAATTACCAATTTTTTTTTTTATTGTTATTTTTATTATTTTTTTTATTTAAAAAAAATTTTTTTTTCTAAATTTTGTTGTTGTTTATTTTACCTTTGGGTAAATTAGTTCCGTAAATATCGTATTTTGTCCTCTCAGATTTACCATAAGGAATATCCAGTTCACAATTTATGGAACTTCGAGCTTCTTTTGTCACTAAAAAACGTGTGAATTGTTAATTTCACATTTTTTTCTCTTTCACTTTTTTTTTGACTTGAAAATTAAATTTTCTTTATTCTTTCTTACTTTCTGCACATTTTTTAAAATAACGCTCTAAAAGTTGTTCCGAATCCCATCTTTTGCTCCAGCAACTTGGCAAATATGCTCTTTCATGTTCCTCATTGAAAATAAATTTTTATAATTAATAATTTAATTTAATTTAATTAATTTATTTAATAGAAAAATATATTATATTATATTATTATATTATTATTATATTATATTATATTATTATTATTATTATTATTATTATTATTATTATTATTATTTTATATTCTATTTATTTGAACCAATAATTTTAGTATTTAAAGCAAATATGAATTGAACCATTTAATTGACTCCAATAAATATTATTTGATTCTAATAAATATTTAATTGATAATAGTCAATTAATCGGTTATTTAAATCGATTAAATTTTTTTTCAGTGTAATAATTGTAAATATAAATTATTTTTAATATAATAATGAATATAATTGAATAATAAATTAATAACAAAAATAAGATATTTGTGCATTTTAATGTATTTTTAATAAATTATAATTTATTTTCAATATTATTATAACTAATTTTTTTTATTTCAATTTTTAGAAAATAAAAGTGCGAGTATTATCAGTAATATGATAATTGACAATGATTATAGTCTACCATTTGATACTTAAAATAATTATATCTTAATAATTCCATTACAATTATACTTTAAATTTTTAATATTATTATGATTTTATTTTTATTATTTTTATTCTTATTATAATATTACTTTATTTTATTACTTTATTATTTATTGTTTATCATTATTATTATTTCATAATTTTAATTTAATTTCTTTTTTAGTAAATAAATTATTATTTAATTACTCTTTATTATTTATTATTTAATAATTTTAATTTTATTTATTTATTATTTATTATTTATTATTCAAATTAATAATTTTCAATTAGAAATTGATTGATTTTATTTTTTACTCACAGTTTGAGCCATTATTTGTATGTTTGCAAGCAAGAATGTTTCAAGTAAACTAATAACGATACGTGAAGTTTATATTGTTTTACTCTGCAAGTGAAAGTAAAATGTGAACCTTGTAATTTGAATCTTAGATTTTTTTCCCCTCGAAGCCTGATAAAAGGAAAAAATGTTTTATATATCAATTTTTGTACCCTATATAACACTACATCTAGTGTTCGTATAAAGTAACTTTAAATATATATTTCAATTCTGTCGGCAAAGTAAATATCTCAAAATTATTATTTACAAATTCATTCAATAAATTTTAATTGAAAAAAAAATTCCATGTATAGACAAAAATGATAATTTTTTTCAACAAATTTTTTGTGTATCGAAAATTTCGAATTTTCTGATTAAATTTATTATCTAGTTAATATTATTATTATTAAATTAATAATATTGTTAAATAAACAAAATTAAATAAAAAAAATATAAAAATATAAATAATATTATATTACTACTTAAATAAATAAATAAATATTAATATAAATGCAATTGAATTAATATTAGTTTAATAATGATTATAATAGGTCATGTGTGTAAATTATGTAAATTGGGTAAATATATAAACATGTAGTTTTATTTAAAAATTTATTTTATTATTACTTTAAAATTAAAAAATTGACAATTTTTAATTATTGATAGTATAAATAATATATTTGCAGACAGATTATATGCGAATAATAATAATTTATTTTATTATAGGTGAAAGTGGTCTATTTTTATTATTATTTAATTAAAATGACAATTATTTTGATAGAAAAAATTTTTTATTGAAAAAAAGTATTACAAAATTTTTTCGAAAAGTTCATTGCAGAACAGGAAGACATGGATAAGAGAAGGTTTAAAAGGAGCACCTGTGTAATACATACATAACTCGTTTGAGCCGCCTTTTGACGAAATAATGCGTCACTAGGTAAATCAGACCTGAGAGCTGTTCAAAAACTTTTTTTTTTCAAGAGAATCATTAACATATATGCGAAAGAATGAGCTTTGTTCGACTGTCTGAAAAATTCTCCGGCAATTATAGTCACTCCGGTATTTTTCTTACGGTTACTTAAATTATTACGGTTATTACAATTATTACGCTTTAATACAATATTACGGTTTATTACAATTATTACGCTTTATTACAATATTACGGTTTATTACAATTATTACGGTTTATTACTGATCTAAAAATAAATAAACAATTTATCTAAAAAAAAAATTACAATTATTACGGTGTATTACAAAGTATTACGGTTATTACAAGTTATTACGGTTTATTCTTACAGAGATTTTACTGAATGTGAAGCATCATTACTTTTATGGTTTATTGAAATGAAAAAATTCCATTCCCGGGACGGGATTCGAACCCTGGTTTCTTTTTCTGTTAACAATGCTCCTAACCACAGAGCTAACTTACAGGAATAATATTATGGTTTATCACACAGTAATTAGGCCTCTCACTATACACTTTATTATATTAAACTAGCAAATGTTATTTTCAAATATAAATTTTTGAATAATTTCATAACCAAAATTTAGAAAATTCCTTTATTAAGTGCATAATTAATTGTTATTCTTTATATTTTCACAAAATTTTAATATAATTCTTTGGAAGAATTCAGTTGTTTTTAAAAATAATAGATTTCTTTTTACAAAAATTCGATTGTTCTCAACAGAATTTTAATAAATCCTTCGAAACAATTCAATTATTTTTTAAAATAGTACAATCTTTGTAAAAATTTAATTATATTTTCTAAAATTTTAATAAAATTTTTCAGAAGAGTTCAATTATTTTCTAAAAATTTTAATTAAAATTCTTCCTAAAAATTCAATTATCTTCATAAAAAGTAAAACTCTTTGAAGATTTCAATTATTTTCATAAAAAATAAAATTCTTTGAAGGTTTCATTTATTTTCTTAAATAATAAAATTCTTCGGAGAAATTCAATTATTATTTTCAAAAATTTTAATAAAATTCTTCGCTAGAATTCAATTATCTTCATAAAAAAAATTGTTTGGAAAATTTAAATTATTTCAATTAATAATATAATTCTTCGCAAGAATTCAATTATTTTCACAAAAAATGAAATTCTTTGGAAGATTTCAATTATTTTCTTAAATAATAAAATTCTTCTTAGGATTTCAATTATTTTCAAAGGATTTAATTATTTATAAAAACTCTAATAAAATTGTTTAAAAGAGTTAAGTTTTCTATAAATAATTTTAATAGTAAAATTATTAATTACAATTATTAATTTAATTCTTATAAATTCTATAAAGCAAATTTTTCTTTCAATCAAGAAATAAGATCCCAACAAATAAAATAATATTCAAAAGTTTGGATTCAGTGGAATAAACTTTTTTCTGAATATATTTTTGACTGAACTTTTTTTTTTACTGAATAAATCAAAGATAAAGATTATTTGAGATGAAATGAATGATATAAAGGAGAGTTTGAATAATTTATTTTCAGTAATATGTAATCGTAGGATTTTTTGACTTTAAAAATGAAATTGAAATGAGAATCGCTGGGACGAATCGCACCCCTGAAATACTTATAGAGAGGGGCCTGTATGGTGATGGTTGAAACCAGAAAAACCGGCCATTCTCTCTTTCCCCACCTGGTTGTCCCTTTACCCCACTATTTTCCTCTCCTCTATTCGTTTAAACTTCCTCCCACCTGGAGGTTACAGCCACGTTGGCATCAGCTACCGTCTCTCCACAGTCCTTTCTTATATAAGTCCCCATATTGGGCCCATGGAGTAATACATTTTTTTAAGCTAGTCAACATTTTTTCCTCTCCTTCAATATTCTAAAAAAATAAATATTAATTAAAACCCGAGTCATTAAATTTTATTACTTTTAAAAATAATTGAATCTCTGCAATAATTTGTAATTTCTCCAACATTCAATTTTTTTTTTAGTATTTTGAACTAAAATTCTTCTATAGATTCATTATTTTTAACAATTAATTAAATATATATTAAAGAAATTAATTAAGTTCAGAAGAATTTGAATTATTAAAACTTTTTTAAAATCTAAGTTGTTTAAAGTTTCTAATTAAATTCATTCAAAATTGAAATTTTCCAAAATTCCAAATTAAAACCGTAACTCTTTTAAAATTCAATTATTTATAAAATAATTTATAAGTAATAATTTTATGAATAATTTTTCATTAATAATTTTATGATAGTTCTTCAAGAATTAATTTATTAAAAAAGAAATTATTGTCAGAAATAGAAAAAATTGAAGGTTTCGTATCAGAATTTATGATAAATTCATAGTTGATGAAGCAAACAAAAATCTTTAATTAGAGAAAAAAAATAGAAAAAAAGGAAACGATCCTGCCAGGATTCGAACCTGGAATCTTCTGATCCGTAGTCAGACGCGTTATCCGTTGCGCCACAGGACCATGTTACTTGAGATTTGCCAAAAAGTTTTCTACGAACGAATTTTCGAAATTAATTAAGATTATATCTCGATTCTGCGAAGATAAGATGATACGAGAATTAACTCTCAGTCTATTATCTTAAGTAATCCTTAAGTTATGACTTGAACCATTGTTTTAAATTTTAAAAATACTTTTCAACACTTTGTATTATGCAAAACAATATAAAACAATACAAAACAATGGAATACAAAACAATACTTTGTTTTTTCTCTGTACTACGGGAAAATAGTAAAATTTTACTAACTGTTAGTTTAGTTTTAAAAACTTTCAATAATTTCTAATATTTTTAGCAAAAATTATTTATAGATGAAATTCAGAACCTAAGAGATTTTTCTTTTGGAGAAGAAATTTTAGGAGAAGAAATTTTTCTAGCAAGAAAAATTTCTAGGATTTCTTCTCTTGGAGATAAATCTGAAGAAGATTCTTCTTCTTCAAATCCAAAATAGGAAATAAAGTCGATTTTCTTTTTGAATTTTCATGCGGAAAATATTCAAGTACCTCTGAGAATAAAATCTGGAGCATCACAATAATGTTTTCTAAAGAAACAATTTAACCGCGGTTGGATTAAGAAATAAAAGCAACGCCCTTTTTTGATTTCCACTGATCAGAGATGGAAAATAATCCGAACGTCTCCAAGACTAATTGAGAACAAACGTGGCTGCTAGGTCAAATAAATTAACCCTTCTAGGTTGTACATTCTTTTGTCCCCTTTTACAATTCAAATATGTATCTATAATGTCGAGGGCGAGCAACAAGTGGAAATAAAATATATTTGTTTTTAATTTTTATACATCTATATAGTTTTAGGACTATAATATAGGCAATGTCAAATATTTGAAACAATAAATAGAATGGTCGAAAAAAGAATTCTAATTGACAATATGTGCGGTATTACAATGTTGGTTCTATTAAAGAATCTGAGGATGATATTATTGATACGACCATGAATTTAAATTACAGCATATAATATTATAATTGAAAGCAATATTCTTCTTCTAAAATTTCTTCTTTCGTTAATGTACTTTAGTGTCTTAATTTCTCTTTATTTAAATTCCACTCCGTAAAAATGTAGAAGGCATTGTTTTAACACTGTTAACTTTAATGTTAGTTAACTTAATGTTATGTTAACTTTAAAGTATTAAATTGCAACGAATTGGCATTAAAAATGTTTTTTATGAAATTTTACAATTTTATACGTATTTAAAATAAAAATTGAGTAAACACTGAGAAAACAGTAATATATTTGAATCAGAACATAAAATTATCTTTTTTATAGTCAGTCAACCAAAAATTATTTTTCAATTAAATTAAACACAATAATTTTGATTCAATACATAAGTTTGATTCAATAACAATTCCATTGAATTCAGTTATAAAATATATTATATATTTAACACAAACATATTTTTGGATTAAATAAAAATTGTTTCTCAGTGAATTGAACTTTAGTTTAGAAAAGAATTTTTACTACACATTGACTCGGTTTTTATCTCCTTACGAGTCTAATTTTAATAAGGCTGTATACTTTATTATCATGTTTTTCATGTCTTTGTCCGCGAAATCGAGTGTAAAATTAAAAAAAAAAAGAAATCATTAAGTACGTCTTATCATTAAGAGGCGTTGCGTTGTCAGGGATTTATTCGACGAGTGCGATTAAAATTCATAGGGTAAAATGTAGAGCAATTATTACC